GATGGAGGGCCCGAGCGGCGGGGCGCCGCCTTTCTCCCCGCAACCACGGAGCCGCCCCCGGGGACCGCTGGGCCGCAGCCGGCTGCGCCCTTCCAGGCCCCGTGGAGCCGCGCGGGGGCGGCGCCGGTGGTCGCTGCCCTGAGGGGAGTGGCGGGAGCTCGGGGCGGAGTGGGCGTAGGGCTCCGAGGTCACGGGGAGGGGCTGCACGGTCGCTGCGGCCGCCTGCGCCTAGGTGGGGCTGGGGGCTGGGAAGCCGAGCTGGCTGGTTCGTGACGATCCCTATTTTAGGCCTCGGGGGAGCGGGTTGCGCTGCTTCGGCTGGGTGAAATATTTGGTCGGTTTCCGCTGTTAGGATCTGAGCTTATAAATGAATATATAAATGCGGTGTATAAATAATCGTTAAACGTTTCTCATTAAGAGAAGTCCCGAATCAGGTTTGTGATTGTGGCTTGTGAGAAGTCATTTTGTTTTCTCGAGTGTTGCTATCCTTCAGATGGGTGACTCACTGACGAAGGGACAAAATTGAAGAGAGCATTTCCTGGAGACCGAGCTGCCTATTTGCCAGGGAAACGGGTTTTGAGGTGCATTCAAAGGAAAATGATCACCTCGTGCAGTTCAACCTTTTTGTCAGTGGATGTAGGAAACAAGGGGTCTTTATTTTTTAAACAATAATTTTTAAGAAGGCACATCCTGAAGCATCCCTTCCCTAGAGCAGTGGGACCAATGACTGATGTTAAAATGTGTGCCAACCATCAAGCTCCTCCTGTAGAGCACTTCAGGTAATTTTGAAACTGAAGTTCATTCAAGCATACCCTTTCAGTGAGGAATCAAGAATGAAAAGGCACCAACTGTGTCCATTCGGTGAGGCTGTATTCTGAAAAGCAGTTATGCTGGAGAAGGATCTCTGCAGAGAAGCAGAAGGGTGTGGAGTTCTGTTTGTCATCGGTGGGGCTGATACTGGAAGATGACACATGCTTTTGGTGTTGCTTTAAAAACAAGGAGGACCTTCGATAACTGCTCACATTTAGCTGGTAATTGGTGAGTATGTAGCGTTGTTAGGAGGATGTAGGTGTTCATTAACATTTACAGGTAGTTCAGGAGGGCTTCCAAAGAATTGATAACAAAGCTAAAGCTGGAAATACATAAGCAGGCTTCTCAAAACAAGGACAATGTGGTGAAAATGGACTGCATGTCTCTGAGGAATGTTCAGGAGCTGCTATGGAAGAGATTTTAATTGTCTTGGAGCTGCTCGACTCACATCTCTGTAAAACTCCTAGGGTAGGATCTTCATGGAATCATCACAGAACAGCCTGGGTTGCACAGGAGCACAATGCTCATCCAGCTCCAACCCCTGCTGTGTGCAGGTCGCCAACCAGCAGCCCAGGCTGCCCAGAGCCACATCCAGCCTGGCCTTGAATGCCTGCAGGGATGGGGCATCCACAGCCTCCTTGGGCAACCTGTGCCAGTGCCTCACCACCCCCTGTTGTGGCCAGGAGTGATCTTTGGCAGTGGAGACTTGCAGTTTTCTGCTGGTTTGCAGCACAGCTGGCACACAGAGAAGCCACCTCAGCACTGATGTATGTTTGCTGGTTTGGGAAGCTTCTGTTTGTGATTGTGGGGCCACCCGAAGTGATCAGGTCTCATCTTAGGAGGGGAGGCAGCTGTGAAACGAACGGCTTGTCTTGTGTGGAGAAATGGAACAGATTACAGTTCCTTATGGCCGTGTATTTTGTGGGCCTTGGAAACTGGTAAGACTTCTGTTTTGAATTGTTGTTTTTTTTTTTTTCTGGTCGTTGGTAATTTATAGCAAACGCGCTAACGAGCGTCGTTGTGGTTGTCATTCACGATTAGATCAGTGCTGACAATCTGAAGACTAAAAACCCTCCTCCTGCCTTCTTTTCCGTCAAAACAGGCGGAGGAGAGAACAAAAAGATCACTGCATCTAAAGCAGCTGCTAACTATGCAACTGTTGCTTTTTATCTTCAGTCTGCCTGCCGTTTATTTCCCTAATGGATAAATGGATAAAGGTCAGGAGAAATTGTTGCACGGTGCTGGAGTGTGGCATCCGAAAGACCCTAAAAATGGAGAAGGGCAGCTACAAACTGCTGATGCTTAATGCCTGAAGGGGGAAGCTGCAGTAGAAGCTGGCAGTGGTCTCTCTTACATTTGATCTGTGTAGCTGTGTTGGGTAGTTAGAGTTATGTAGGCAGGAATCCTGTTGTAGCTGAGGTTTTGCTGGTAGGCATTAGTCATGTCACAGTGACAAAAGAACCTCTTTGCTGATAGAGCTGTGCCACCCGGTGGAAATGCAGCTGTGCCTGTTGCATTGAGGAGGATTTCTGTTGCTCTTTGGAAGGTGATCTCAGGGGAATCAACTCTGAAAGGGGAGATAACAGCAGGGCAAGGGGAAATGGTTGAAGTTGAGGAAGGGAAGACTGAGGTTGGATGTCAGGGGGAAGTTGTGTGCTGTGAGAGTGGTGAGGTGCTGGAACAGCTGCCCAGAGAGGCTGTGATGCCCCGTCCATCCCTGGAGGTGTTCAAGGCCAGGTTGGATGGGGCCCTGGGCAGCCTGGGCTGCTGTGAAATGTGGAGGTTGGTGGCCCTGCATTGGTGGGGGGTTGGAGCTTCGTGATCCTTGAGGCCCCTTCCAACCCAGGCCGTTCTGTGATTCTGATTCTGTGATCTTGGAGATGGGAACTCAATCTGTCACATCAAGAGTGCAGAAAATGTTGTGCAGCCCATGAAGTTATGAAAACAGTCGAGGCTTTGTTTGAATAGCTTTAGCAAAAGAAGGAAGCAGGGTTTGGGGCAGCTCTTTCTAATGGCAGCCACCGGGGACCAGTGATGAAGAAAAGCCAGGGAGGGCAAGAGCATGGGAAAAATGCTCCTGCATTGCTCATTTCCACTTGGTTCTGATGGGAGCAGAGAGGACTCAGAGCTGAAGAAACACTGTGGGGCTGTTTTATGGCAGAGGCTGAAGGATTTGGTTTGCCTTACGGAGCATCAAGCCCAGCAGTGGGGTTTTTGCAGAGCTCTGAAGCTTGCCATGTATTCAGCTGGTGTTCAGTGTTGCAGGTAGGACTGGCCTGGCGGTGCTGCAGAGGAGCACGTCTGGGCCTCTGCCATTCTCACCTGCATGTTGTTAATTCCTAGTAATTAGAGGTGAGTTGTTGGGTGTCCAGGAGGCCTTGGATTCTTGTCTGCAGGCTGTTTCTGTAGTTTCTGGGTAGGTGTGCTGGAAGTCCTCCGTGCCAAGTTTCAGCTCGGGATAAAGGATGGGAGATTCTGCTCCTCATGCTGTCCCTCTGTTTATCCCAGACACCGGTGTTCCCTCTTTGCCTCACTTCAGTTTGATGTTTTTGGCCCTATGCTGTGTCTGGAGCTGCAGGCTGAGTGCTTCTGTGAAGCACAGAGTGCTGCCAGGGGCGTTGGTCTGCACAGCACAAAGGAAATGTTGTCTTGCAGCAGCGTGGATGCAAGCAGGACTTTGGATTGAATGCTGCCAGTTCTGTGGCCTTTCTTCTGCCTGCCAAATTACTTAAACTCCTTGAATCCTCCTCCTTCTATTCGCTCTTCTTTTTCCCCTCGCCCCAAGAAAGTGCAGTCTGAAGTAGGGTTTAAATGCAGCAGGATGAGATGTCTGATCTGTGGGCTGTGATTCTGTGACTGGCTTTTCTCTACACAGAACTGCAAAGGGAGACTCCAAGCCCACTTGTTAACCCTGCAGTCACTAAAAGCCTCATCAATGCAACAGTGTGCTTTCTGAGATGGTGAGCCCATTGGTTGCTAATGGGGAGCCTGAGATCTTCTGTCCAACAGTGTCAGAGTTTCTTTTTGAACACGTGGATGCCTTGGGCAGTGCTGCAGATAGAACTGGTATTTCAGGGAGGTTTTGACGAGTTCGGTGCTGTGCAGCTGGAATGGCATATGGATTCTAGATGGGTTTGTGTGGTGAGTGTGTCTATCAGCACCAGAGTCACTCCTTTAATAAATGGAGGTGGCACTGCACAGATGAAATGGGTGTTTGAGGAAGGTCCCCAAACGAGGCCATCCTGTCTGCAAGAGGATCACAGAATCACACAGAATCACCCGGGTTGGAAGGGACCTCAAGGATCATGTAGTTCCAACCCCCCTGCCTAGCAGGGCCACCAAACACACACATTCAGATCAGGTTGCCCAGGACCCCGTCCAACCCGGCCTTAAACACATCCAAGGACGGGGCATCCACAACCTCCCTGGGCAGCCCGTTCCAGGGCCTAACCACTCTCCTTGTAAAGAACTTCCCCCTAACATCCAACCTAAATCTTCCCTCCTTCAACTTGGATCCATTTCCCCTAGTCCTGCTGTTGTCAGCCCTTTTGAAGAGTTTACTCCCCTCGTGGGTGTAGGTTCCCTTCAGGTATTGATAGGCTGCAATGAGGTCACCCCGCAGCCTTCTCTTCTCCAGGCTGAACAAGCCCAACTCCCTCAGCCTGTCCTCATAGGGGAGGTGCTCCAGCCCCCTGATCATCTTAGTCGCCCTCCTCTGGACCCTTTCCAAAATCTCAGTGTCTTTCTTAGGAATCCTTTCTTAGGATCCTTGACATGCTTGGCACTGTCTCAGTTATGCCAAATGCTGCCAGCAAATGTTGCTCCAGTCTGCTTGCCAAAGTGAGAGAGCCACTAAATCTTTATCAGAAGCTGTGCTTTGCTGCAGGTTTTCTCCTAACAGCCATACAGCAGAATTGTTTCCTTAATTTTCATAGCACAGAAGTCTTTTGAAATAATCAGCTGATAAATATTGGAGATTTTTGGTGGCACTTTGCAGGCAGTCCTCTTTCTGCTGCAGCCATCCGTTGTCACAGAATCTCACAGCATGGCCTGGGTTGTAAAGGAGCACAGTGCTCACCCAGCTCCAACCCCTGCTGTGTGCAGGTCGCCAACCAGCAGCCCAGGCTGCCCAGAGCCACATCCAGCCTGGCCTTGAATGCCTGCAGGGATGGGGCATCCACAGCCTCCTTGGGCAACCTGTGCCAGTGCCTCACCACCCTCTGGCTGAAGAACTTCCTCCTCATATCCAACCTAAACCATGGCAGATGGTCTCTGCCATCCCATAACTTCACCTACAGCTGAGGAGTTCGCTCTGCTTCTGCAGGGCTTTGGTTGCCTGATGGATCGTTGCTGGGAAATGAGCAGAGTTGTGCTGTCAGGAAAGTAAGGCTTAGGTAATAAAATGGCAAACATAATTCAGTGTAGATAAATGTGATTCAGAGAGCTTGAATGTGAGATTGTGTGCATCACTTCGTATATAAAATGATGGGCTGACCCTTAACACTGAAGAATAAAGTACTGCTGTGGGAGTCAGTCTCAGCAGTGAGCAAAAAGAAGATCAAACATGAAGAAGTATTGGGAAGGAAATAGAGGATGAACCAGAACATAATTACGGAACTGTATAAATCAATGGCTCTCCCACGTTTTGGATTCTTTGTGGCTGTTTCTTGTCGTTCATCTCAAGAGATACAAAAGAATTGGAGAATCCTCAAAGAGAAGCAGTGAGGATACTCAAGGGGATGGAATAGGTGCTGTGCAAGGGGGAGTGGAATCGGCTCCATCTCAGCACGGAGGAGGAATGGCTGGAAGAGAATGGGAAGAACACACAGTAATGAGCAGCACAGAGAGGGGCTGGGTGAGAACAGATCTGCAGAACGAAGGAGCATCACCTGAACGTGACAGAGGTGCCTCGGATGGTTGGAAGCACTGAGCTGTCATTGCTGCTGTTCTTCCCTGCAGACGCTGCTGAAGATGAAATGGGGGCTGAGCTCATTGTCCCACTGCCCACAGCAGTGCTGTTTTACCATTAGCAAATTGTGTCCATTTAAAAACAAACAGACCTTACTAAAACAGGTTCAGTTCCATGTGAAATATTTGCATTATGTAGATTGGAATTCAGTGGGAGGCTTATAAGCCTTTCTGCTGGGGCCATCTTGCAACATTTCTCATGAGGTGTTGAGAGGTCAGGAATCAGGCACTTGTTAGAGGCTTTCCTTGTGTCTACATTCAAGAGTGCTTGGCTGAAGTCAGTGAAAGCAAATCGGAGCATCCACCGACTTCAGTGTATTTAAAACCCACGTTTGGTACTTCTGAAAATAAGATCTGAATGGGGGTGTAATCGTGTTTAATTTTAGGGGCATTGACTTCACCAACTTCTCTGAGTCCCAGTTTAGAATAGAGCCTGGATACCTGCTGGCATTGCTGCAGAGGCTGCTTGTTTGGCACGAATACCTGAAATATTTCTTCTTGGTGTTGTGACCCATTTACACTGCGTTGCTCCCATCTGAGATGAGATGGAGGCTGCAGTTCTGCTGCTTCCTGGCTCCTGTATTGAGGGAGAGCATTTGGGTGGCTGCTGTCCGTCTGCACCCCAGTGGTTGGGATGGAGCCGTTGCTGAGAAGCTCTGCCAGCTGGACATCCCTTTGGGTTTGAATGAGACAAATGTCAAATTCTTTATTCTTTATCGAACTCTTCCTCGATGTACTTTATTTTCAAGGAATTTCACTTTATTTTACCTTGCTTTTCAGCAAAATGTCTGGAACTGATGATTTTTCGGTAAGTAATGGCTTTTTGTTCCTGAAGATCTGCCAGTTGTATTACTTCGTTCTGCTCAGGCACTTCTGTGAGAAGAGGGGCAGCTCTCAGCTGAGATGATTGCCTTGGCATTGCAGTAGCAGCTCTTTGCTTTGGGGCAGAGCTAGCAGTCTGTGGCCTCCAGGTGTGCCTTGCAGGCTCTCTTCTGCTGCGGTGCTCACAGAGGACTGTTGTCCTGATAGCATCAGAATAGCTACAATGGAAACTTACAACTCTTCTTCCTGGATTTATACCAGAATTGCTTATGATTCTACTGCTGCAGGTTGCCTTTTATCTTTGGCTTTAGAACTGCGGCACGTCAGGATGCCTCTCTCCTTTAACCATAGAAGCTGCTCAAAGTGAACACAGCCCTGTCTGCAGCGGCAGATGCTCTTTTCCTCCCGTTCAGGCAGCTGCAGTGCATCTGTGTAGTGGGTGAAGGTGGGCAACCAGCAGCTCCCGCAGGGATCTGCCGTGCTCACGGCCCTTTCTCTCTCAGTTGGCAGATGCTTTGCCCGATCAGTCTCCCGCTAAGACCCCCAAAGTGAGCGGTGCGAAGCCCGGCCAGCAGCCCTCCCAGCCGCCTCAGGGTTGGCCGCCCTCGAATCCTTGGAACAACCCGAGCGCTCCCCCCGCCGGGCCCTCGGCGCTGCCGCCCAACACCTCCGCTTCCAGCGTGCCCTTCGGACCTCCTCCTACAGGAATGTATCCTTCAATGCCCCCCGGACCGCCTGCTCCATTTCCTCCTCCTCCTAGCGGACCCTCTTGCCCTCCTCCCGGAGGTCCGTATCCGCCCCCAGCCGTGCCGGGCCCCGTCCCTCCTGGGCAGTATCCTCCGCCAAACATGCCCTTTCCAGAGCTTCCACGACCTTATGGCGGTCCCACGGAGCCGGCTGCGCCTCCCGCTCCCGTCGGGCCGTGGGGATCCATGCCCTCTGCAGCATGGGGACCGACGATGGCGGGGCAGTATCCCGCACCCAGCATGCCGTATCCCCCCCCAGGGCCGTACTCTGCTCCTGCCCAGACTCCGGGAGCGGCGCCGACGGTACCGTGGGGCACAGTCCCACCTGGAACGTGGGGACCTTCGCCGCCAGGTCCGTTTCCTCCACCCGCAGGATCGTACCCGGCTCCAGGACTCTATCCTACGCCCCCTAATCCTTTTCAAGTGCCGTCTGGTCCTGCTGGTGCTCCGTCCATGCCGGGCGGCCCCCATGTGAGTATATATGCTGGATGCGGCGCTGGGCAGCCTGCTCTGGTGGTTGGGTGAGCCTGCAGGTAGCAGGAGGGTTGAAACTAGATGCTCACTGTTGTCCTTTTCAACCCGTTCTATGACTTCGTTTTTTGTTATCAGTGAATTATTCTTGATAGGCTTTTAAGCGTGGGAATTGGGTAGCAAAAGACCTATTAATGCAGGTAAGAACTTTAAGGGCTCGTCTGCGTAGTCAGTGGGATAACAGGCAATTTTCTGCTTAAACATTGAACTTGGTGCACCAGAGCAGTCCCATTCCATCGGGTTGGAGCCTGTCTGAGCACTGCGCTGTAGTGGTCTTCCACTTGTTGGAAAGCCTTCTCTAAAAGACACAAAAAATAAAGGGGAAGAGACTTGTAAGAATGTTCAGGAATGGAAGATAGTGTAGTGTGTAGTCTGGAGAGATTGCTTTTCAGGATGCACGGGGGATAACAACCCACGGTCAAATGTTCTTGAGCTAAGAAGTGCTGTAATGCTAATGAACTGCTTTGTGAAAGCCCTGCAATGACCACCAATTCTCGTTGTCTCTTGCAGCCTTACCGTTGAACACGTTCTGGGCAACAAAGTACTGTAGCTTTCCACCTTCATCCACTACTTACAGAGATTTTTACAGTTTTTGTTTCAGTAATGTTTGGGGCTATGAAGAATACTTGCCTCTTGTATGTGCATTTGAGGTATGAAGGAGCAATTTAGCAATTTGCATAACATTAACTTGCTCGTATGTTGGCGTAATTGTTTGGTTTAATGAAATGAGCTACAGAGAGCAGAAGTAAAACTGAAATCCGTGGTTCTTACTCTGGCCAATATTCCTTGGGAAAATGAGAGCTGCCAAGTAAGGATCCTAAAGAATCAGGCACAAGGACTTGCGAATCAGAAACAGCTTAAATTTCCACGAATGCTTTAAGTCTCGTTGCCGGACTCGTGCTGGTTGTTGAATGGATGGATGGTCGTACCTTGTCTATTTTCAGGTTATTCTAAAATGTCAATAAAAAGTATTTCAAGATTTTTTTTTTTTTTGTCAAGAAATGTAATTTTTGAACGTGCTTCAGTAATGGAAACGACAGAGACGGAGCGCGTGAACTCGAAGGCTTTCTCAGCACTCTGTAAATCCTGCACACAGTTAATGGCCCGGTCTGGGACTGCGGAGGAGGAGGAGGAGGCGTGCGTTGAAATGCTGGGTCTGAGTGGTCGGCGCCCTGCTGCTGTCTGTGCAGTGCAGAGCTGGACGTTGCCGTTCCCTTTCATGGAGCGCTGTGAGTTTCGTGCATGCCGATGAGGACTTCGTTTTGCCAGTTCTCGTTCTGTGGTGGTTGGAGGTTTGACTTGGTCTGTGTAAAGCATTAACTCCCACGTAGGTAAAGTACCTCCCTATATCTAACCTGGGTTCTGGTTGTTTAAAATTTGACTTGTCTGCCGAGTTGTGTAAACTCAGCGGGTGTTTTCAGAGTCCCTAGAAACTGAACTTGAGCTTAAAAGGTGAAGAAAACCAGCCTGGCCATTCCCTTCCCAGCAGGTTTTGGCGAGGCTTTTCTTTCTATCTGCTCCAGCCATTCCCTTGTGCCATCCTTACTGCCACAGCTGGGGACGAGCAACTCTCACCGGGGCTCCACTGAACGTGGGAATGGAGAGCAGCGCTCTGTTCCCGGCCAGGTGCCTGCATACCTCACTGAGAGCATAATTTGGGATGTTTAGAAGCTGTGTGCTGCTGTGTGGCTGCCCCTGCTCTGGAAGGGGCGCTGCAGGAAGCTTTATATTCTTGCCATATCTGTGCTGGGGTAACTGCTGGTGCGGCGTTACTGAGGCACAGCCACGCGTTGCTGAGGAACTCTGGTGGCATTTCATAGCCTGGATTTGAGCGTGGACGTTTCGCTTCTCCTCAGGTGGGGATCTCCTAACTTAGCCTCTGTAGGTAGAATTAGGAATCAGTGTTGCTTAACGTGTAGCTCGTTAGGGAGTCTTCGTATCGTGGAACTGTGAAAGCAAGTTAATTCGCTTCCTGTACCTTGCCATGGCTTCCTGCATGCATGTGATGAACTTCAGAACAAGTGGGCTGAGCTGGCAGTGGTGCCTGTTGGCTGTGCCAGCCCATGGCAGAGCACTGCGGTGTCCCTGCAGGGGAGAGCTGGGGCTCCTTGAGTCTGCCATGAAAACCGAAGGTACGAGCATCTCTTGTCTCAGTTATAGGAAGATGGCACTGGAGCTGAAGGGAAATGCTGAACACTTCAGTGTAAATGCCAGCTCTGACCCTAGGAATCAGAACCCAAAGTGTCAGTATTACCTTAAACAAACCCCTTGGCCCCCCAGGCAGCGCACTTCACTTAGATCTTGGCAAGACCAATTCCAAATAAACACAGTAGAACACTGCCTACATTTGCTCAAGTGCTTTTAATTTCAATACCTGCAGCCTTAGGTTATAAACCAATGTGATGAACAACACCTGTCCCAAAGGAGCGGATCGTGCAGCACCCTCCAGTTCCAAATTGCGCTCTGTGTCTCTGTGCGGAATGGGAAGAGGTAGGAAAGGAGAGGGCAGCAAACGTAGCAAGGAATGACTGCTGGAAGGGGATTTGTTTTGGTAACCAGGCTTCCAGGTTCTTCCTGAAGTAGGCAGGATCAATTACCGGAACATTTAGGCTAAAATTCAGTATATATGGGATGTTTTTTCAATGTATATTCGTATTTCTTGAGGTCATGAGAACTGTTTCATAACCCCTTTGTTTTTGTGAGCCAAGTTCTTTGCATAGCAGTGAAAAAAAGGGTATCCCTGTTAATCTATTGTGTAAAAACTCAAGTTGTCACTATATGCCGTGTAGTAACTTTATCACATGTTATGTCAAGTGTGAGCAACTTCTGGCCTGAAGCTTTTGCAATGGAATTTGTCCATTTCTATGCATCGTTTGAGTTAAATTGCTGAGGAGTTCGTTTTGTGCTTTGAGGTTGACATACTGCATTTGTTTACAATATGAAATATAAGCAATCACATCTTTAAAGTATAGATTATCACCTGCTGCTGTATTTTCTTTAGATGAAACAAATATTGCTGTATGATAGTGAGAAGCTATAAATACAGGATTTGATATTTTTTTGAAGATGCTGTCACTTTTGTATAAGATTAGACATTAAACGTATTTTCAAGACTGTCGTGTTCACTGTTCTTCACTCACAGCCCTTGGCATGCTTGTGTAGATTTTTATTTTATTTTATTTTATTTTAGCCTTGAATTAAATAGTAAAGAAACAGGCCGTCCTTGGTTTGCAACGACTGAATATAAAATCAGAATTATTGGACTTGTGTGTTTTTCCTCTTCCTTTTGTGGTTTTTGTGCCTTCGGCACGTTCACAAGTGCTGAGGGGGTGTGTGGCTGTGCGTGCATCACAGAATGGCTTGGGCTGGAAGGGACCTCAAGGATCACGAAGCTCCAACCCCGTGCTGCAGGCAGGGCCACCAACCTCTGTGCTTAATAGCAGGCCAGGAGTTCGCTCTGTGATTTGGGATAGGAAATGCAGATCCCACAGAGGTTTGCTCAGCAGGGCGGCGTGTGCCCAGAGCAGCCCGTGCAGCATCGCAGAATGGCTGAAGGCTGCACGTGGGAGCTGACTTTGCTCCCTGGGCATCACCAGGGACACCAGGGTGAGCTGTTGGATCTGGGGAAGGTTTGACCCTGGGGGGAGGTTGGGAAGGAGCCGAGCAACCCGATGTTCCTATGGCCAGCTGTGTTCTGCTGACACTGAGGCTACGGCTGAAATCCTCAGTGTGGGATGGGGGGCATTGCTCACAGCTCAGGTCTAAAGAGAAGGCTTCCAGCTGGTGGGGAGAGCGTTTTAGAGCAAGCAGCGGGTGGTGCTGCTGTAAAACAGAGATCTCTTCACCATGAGGCTGGTGGAGTGCTGCAGTGCTTGTGTCCAAAGGGGCCGTGCAGTTTCCATCCTTGGAGATTGAACTGGACAGCACGGTAGCAGAGGCACCTCTCAGCACAGGAGCTGAGCACCGCTGAGCTCTGTAGCATCATTGAATGGTGCTCTCCTGCTGCTCCTCAGCGTCTGACACCAAGCAAAAGCTGCTCGTCTGCTACCTGCTCTAAACGGCTCGGATGCTGAGTGAAAGAGCTGCTGGCTGCACGTACAGAGCCCCGCCGGAGTCAGCAGAGGGCAGTGCTGCTGTTTGAGAGCCCTCCTGGGGGACCTCTGCTTTGAGACATCCTCATTGAACGTACTCAATGGATTTAAAAAGGAAGGAGACAATTGCAGCAGTTCAGTGCCTGGCAGCATTGTTTGGGGTAAGGAGGGCTGCTGTGTGGGGTGGTGCTGGGGATGGTGGTGGCTTCTGGGATAGGACAAGGGGGAATGGTCTTAAACTGAGACAGGGGAGGTTTAGGTTGGATGTTAGGAGGAAGTTTTTCAGCCAGAGGGTGGTGAGGCACTGGCACAGGTTGCCCAAGGAGGCTGTGGATGCCCCATCCCTGCAGGCATTCAAGGCCAGGCTGGATGTGGCTCTGGGCAGCCTGTGCTGCTGGTTGGCGACCTGCACACAGCAGGGGCTTGGAGCTGGATGAGCACTGTGCTCCTTTACAACCCAGGCCATGCTGTGATTCTTCACACAGCGCCCTCGGGTTGGCTGGGAGATGGCACTGTAAGTTTGCTTCTTTGCACAGACCTGCATCAAACTGCATTGGGTTTGGAGGGGGCCGGGGGCTCCTGTAGTCTCCATTGACACAAATTGCTCCCACAAAGTGCTGGTTTTTTGCCTGCGCTCTCATTTTCTAGGATGGAGCCACAAAGGCAGGAGGTTGGCGCTGAGGTGTTGGTCTCTTTTCTCAGGTGTCAAATGATAGGATGTGAGGAAACCGGCCTCGGGTTGTGCTGGAGAGGCTTAGGTTGGACATCAGGAGGAGTTCCTTCATGTGGATGAGGGATCAGGCACTGTGTGGGGCGGTGATGGAGTTCCCCACCCCTGGAGGTGGTGGAGGGGTGGGGTTTGGTGATAGGGCTGATGGTTGGACTTGATGACCTTGTAGATTTTCGCCAGCCTGGGTGGTTCACAATTTTATGGGTTGACTGTATGGCTCACTAAAAAACAAACAGCCCTATAAAGTAGACAGGAATTGTTCATTTCCAGTCAGCAGTTCCTTGGTTTGAAGTGATTTAAGCCCACGTAGACAGCTCTGCCATCGAGGTTGGGATTTTTGTCTCTGCAGGACGCGGTGTCCCCAGGAATGATGGAAAGCAGCACACAGCTTCGTGCTGGATGTGAGCAAATGTTTCTTCTGCAAAAGAGCGGTGATGCGGTGGCACAGCTGCCCATGGAGTGCTGGGATCGCCATCCCTGGAGGTGCTCCAGAACCAGGGAGATGTGGCCCTGAGGGATGCAGGCACGGCAGGGGTTGGTTGAGGTTGGGGATCTTCAAAATCTTTTGCAACCTGAATGGTTCTATGATTCTATAAGGCATTAAGTCTTGCTATAGGTCAGTGTGAAGCATTCTGGGACCGATGGTAAGGGGTTGGTAATTCCAGTCTGTGATCACTGGTGGCTGCAAAGGGGCACAGGAGCTTTGGGTCAGTCTCTGAATTCATTTTTCGTACAATCACAGCATGGCCTGGGTTGCAAAGGAGCACAGTGCTCATCCAGTTCCATCTCCTGCTGTGTGCAGGGTCACCAACCAGCAGACCAGGCTGCCCAGAGCTGCATCCTCTGCTTGGTCTTGTGCAGTTCTTCAGCATAAGCAACCTGTTTGCCCTCTCCTCCCTTTTTAACCTGAGCTAACAGAGCATGCAGTTAATTGACCCAGATGGCAGTCATACAGTAAATATTGCTACGAGGCAATGACACGAAATCTCCTCAATAAACACAATTAAATAGACTGAAGCTCTGTGGATGATTGCAGGGCAGCCTATCAAAGGGAAATGCTCAGTGCTGTGTTGTCTTAGGGCGGGTAGAGTGCCAGGATGTCCTGTGAAACAGCACCAGGGGTGGGGTGAGCACTCAGCTCCACAGATCAGCTCTGCCTTGGTTTCTGGATTACCACAAAATGATGCTGTCAGATAAACTCAGGAGGAAGCAAGTTGTGTTTGGAGAATGTTTCTGGCCCTCGTGGTCCAACCCATCAGTTCTCCAGTTCCTTGATGCTGCAGCTGCCCAACAGCACTGCGTGCAAAGGCTTTCTGAGCCCATTCAGATGAATGAAGGACTGCAGCACCTCCCCTACAAAGGCAGGCTGAGGGAGCTGGGCTTGTTCAGCATGGAGAAAAGAAGGCTGTGGGGTGACCTCAGTGCAGCCTGCAGTACCTAAAGGGAGCCTACAGACAGGAGGGGAGTCAGCTCTTGGAAAGGGGAGATGACAGCAGGACAAGGGGAAATGGTTTGAAGTTGAAGTAGGGCAGATGGAGGTTGGGATGTCAGAGGGAAGTTGTGTGCTGTGAGAGTGGTGAGGTGCTGGAACAGCTGCCCAGAGAGGCTGTGATGCCCCGTCCATCCCTGGAGGTGTTCAAGGCCAGGTTGGATGGGGCCCTGGGCAGCCTGGGCTGCTATGAAATGTGGAGGTTGGTGGCTCTGCCTGTGGTGGGGGTTGGAGCTTCGTGATCCTTGAGGTCCCTTCCAACCCTTTCTGTGATTCGGTGAATGAACCCACGCTCGGGTTCTGTTTCCTGTTTTCATTTCTGCTTTTGTAACGCTGTGTCTGTTGTGTAACTGAAGCTGCAACACTTTTGCAGCAGGAGATGAAAAACACCAGAACCTCTTGGAAAAGCCCTCTGTTCCGGGCTGCACCTTCAGCCTGCCTGCACAGTAAAGGCATTCCAGCACTCCCGCACGTCTTTGCCTTTCGCCCCGCTTTAAGCAGCGCTGCCATCGCTCCAGGATTGGATTCAGCGTGCTGTGCTGGGCTCCTGCTGCTCGATCTTTGAGGTCTTTTTCCCACCTCGGTGGTTTTATGGCTCTATGATCCTATGACTCAACGTCGGGCGCCGCCGGGATGGGCGATGGCCCAGCAGTGAGTTGGAACCTTCAGTGCATCCGATTGCTCCGTGTTCAGTGGGGTGGCATTCCTAACAGCTGGGAGGGGACGCCGCGGGTGTCCTCGTGCCGTGCTGCCCGCGGGGCTGGGCTCCGCTCGGTGCTCCGCCCCGGGGCTGGGGCAGCTATGGGTGGGGATATAGCCCAGCCCCAGAGCGCAGCCCGACACCCGGCCCTGATACACGGCCCGACACCTGCAGGTAAGGGAGCTCCGGGAAGGGGCTGAGCGCTGGCACTGGGGGTCCTGGGTTGGACAGAGCTCCCATCCTTGGTGAGTTGGGTTGCACGGGTTTGCCCACCATCCTTCACATATCGAGGTTGCTTTGCTTCGAAATCCTTTTCCCAAATGGTTTCCCAATGCGTGGCAAAGGCTGAGCCTGGCAGGAGCCGACGTGATGGTTGGACTCAGCCATCTTAGGAGGTCTTTTCCAACCTTAACTGCCCAGCGAATTATAAAGTGGGACTTTCAGAACTCGTGGGGCTCGTTGGCACCTGCCTGGCTGTGCTGGGACTGCCTGCAGTTAGTGGGGCACTGGGTCCTGCACCCTGGGAAGCAGAGGGATGGAAAAAGCAAATATCTGCACTGCCAGGTTGGGGCAGCTGAAAGTCATTGCTCCTGGCTGGTGCCTGCAGGACTGCTTGGAAGTCACGCAGGCTCTGTGCTGCCTTTTGCTGGGGGAAGGGTTTGGTGCTGGGGAAACTCGGCGGGATTTCCTTATTGCTGAAGCAGGTTCACTCAGACCTTTGTGTTGCTCAGTGTTTTATTTGAAGAGAATTAGACTTCTCCGCTTTCCGTTTGGAATTTTCCTTTTTCCCTCCCATTTCTGCCTCTCCCTGTTTGTTTGGGTTTTTTTTTTCTCCTCTGTTGGTTTATGAATGCACTCTTTGATAGCAGGAACTCAGCCCCAGGCCACAGCATTCCTGCATGGCGCAGCTTCGCCTTTTGGGGTGGCTGCAAACCCCACTGCAGACCACACGTCTCCCATAGGAACAGCACAGGGGGTCCCCCTGTAGGACCCCTCCTCTCCCATCCCATCCCAGCTGCAGGCCGGGCCTTTGGGTTTGGGATTCTGTGGCACCTCTCGGCCCGGCAGCGGTTATGATGGAGGTGGTGAACCACAAACGGCCGTGTCACCTGGGAGGGGCACAAAATGACCTCACGATCTCCTCCGTCTTTTTGTTTTAGGAAAAATGTCGGACGGTTTCTCTGTGAGTATCGATTTCTTGAACAAACACGCAGGGGCCCCGTGGTGGTCATTGCGTGAAGGTGGGGACTTGTGGTGGGACTTGGCACAGCTGCCCAGGGAGCGGTGAGGAAATCATCCCTGGAGGCGTTTAGGAACCGTGGGGATGCGTTGTGAGGGATGTGGGCAGTGAGAATGGTGATTCTGAAGTCTTTTCCAACCTTAATGATTTTGTGATTCTGCGATTCCGTGTAGTTACCAATCCGTGTAACACCAATCAAGGAGCATTAAGGGACTTTTGGGTTCTCAGCACCACTGGGGCTCCTGGCCGTTCCAGACGCAGCGCTCAGCGTCGCGCAGGTCATGAAGGCCAGGTGCTGGCAGCCCTACTGGATGCTGCCTGTCTTTCTCCTCCTACTCTCCCCTCCATCCCCAGCTCTCTGACGCCCTGCCTACTCACAACCCTGGTGCCCCCCCAACCCAGGGCTGGAACCGGCCCCCAGGTCCTGGGGCCTTCCCGGCGTACCCTGGATTCCCTGGGGGACCTGGACCGCATCATGGACCGCCCAGACCATTCCCTGGAGGACCACCAGGGCCTTATCCTGGAGGATCACCAGGGCCTTATCCTGGAGGACCGGCAGCAGCAGGACCCTATCCTGGAGGACCAGCTGCACCATTCTCCGGAGCTCCAGCTGCTCCACTGGTAACAGCTCAGACATATTTGAAAGCTTTTGCTTTCTCTGGTTGCTCGTTGTGCTCAGCTGTGGGAGGGACCTGGGGCTGCGCGTCCTTAGGAGTTGCATGAGCAGCCACACTGCTGTCACACCAACACCCAGCCCTTGCCTGACCGTCAGGCCTGCGCTGCTCGCCAACATGCTGTTCTGCTAACACCAAAATCTCTGTCCTCTCCAGAAAGTCCCCTACGATCTGCCTCTACCAGCAGGACTCATGCCTCGCATGCTCATAACCATCACGGGGACTGTGAACCCAAACCCCACCAGGTACGGATGGGTTGCGACAGCGTTAAGGGGCAGAGTTCACTTTCTGAATAGCGCCCACCTTCTGTGAAATCGTGACTCAAAACGACCGTGCAAATCCTCCAGACCTGCCCTGTCGTTACCTAGCAGGCCCTGTGCATTTATGTCTGCTTGCTGCTGCTTTCCAGCTGCTTTCCAGCAGCCATGGGAGACAGCTCGTGTCTTCTGCAGAAAAAGCAGCTCACTGATTATTGCCTTTGCAGGTTTTCACTGGATTTCAAGAGGGGGCAAGACATTGCCTTCCACTTTAACCCCCGTTTCAAGGAAGACCACAAAAGGGTCATCGTCTGTAATTCAATGTTCCACAATAGCTGGGGAAAAGAGGAGAGAACAGCTCCTAGATTTCCATTTGAACCTGGAGCCCCCTTCAAGGTAACAACAGAGAAAAGAAATTTAAAACAAATCTGTTATTCCCATTTCTTACTGCATTCTCCCTACTGGTGCTGTCATTGTGCAGCAGCTATTGGGCAGGTTGCTGTAAGGCATCCTTCTGCACAGAATCACAGCGTGGCCTGGGTTGCAAAGGAGCACAGTGCTCATCCAGCTCCAACCCCCTGCTGTGTGCAGGTCGCCAACCAGCAGCCCAGGCTGCCCAGAGCCACATCCAGCCTGGCCTTGAATGCCTGCAGGGATGGGGCATCCACAGCCTCCTTGGGCAACCTGTGCCAGTGCCTCCCCACCCTCTGGAGGAAAAACTTCCTCCTAAAACCTGCAGTGCAGTCCAGCTCTCTCCCCAGTCTGTTTCTCCTGCAAAACAAACGGGTGCACTCTGCCCTCCCTGCATTTCATGCTGCTTGAAAGCCGTAGTCATGGGGCAGACACTGCAGCTGAATCATCAAGGAAGATGAGCACAGCAGGGCTCTGGGGAAGGCAAAGGTCACCGGTGTTCCTGCAGCTGATGGTTCCAATTTGGCTCACTTTGCATTTCTCTTTCAGCTCCAGGTGCTCTGTGAGGGGGATCACTTCAAGGTAGCAGTGAACGATGCTCACCTGCTGCAGTACAGCTTCCGTGAGAAGAAGCTGAATGAGATCACCAAGCTCTGCATCGCTGGGGACATCACTCTCACCAGCGTTTTGACCTCCATGATTTAATTAGCAAGCTGTACCTTTAACACAAGTCTAGCACTCTTCAGAGAATTGTAACAGGAGTGCCTTCCTGTCTGATTATTTTGAAGCAATAAAGCATTTTCACAAGTAAAATTTGGTTTTGGTTAAGATGCAAGCTGTATTTGGATGTGGAAGAAGCCGAATTCTTGCTTTAGAATTTGAACCTTGGCCAGAGGATAATGACTATGAGTCATTTCTGATTTGCAAGAAGAATATGTGGAAAAGCTGTATGTAGCCTACAGGCAGTTGTCCTGTGAATGAGTTAAGATAGGGCTGAAGATTACTGCTGGAAGTCCCAGATAACTGATCAATGTTTTAGCCTCAGTTCCTCTGCTAGTAGAGCAGTCATTCCTTTTTGTATCAAAGCAGTGCTGCAAAGTGGTGCTTTGGTTCTCTCTAAAGGGGAAACACAAGAATAGGAATTGCATGGCCAGGCTGGGAAGGTTTGTGAATAAGTGACAAAGTGCCACTTCAGTGACCTAAGCAACTAAGCAATACCAGAGAACACTGAAAGCTCAAGAGTGTTCTGGTCAGGATCAGACACTGCATTTCAGGAGGGGGCTCAGAGTTAAGGCTGGAGGAAGCAAAACTGCCCCCCTTCTCCATTTCAGACTTGTTTTGCCTGCACAGCTGCTTAGAGTGGCTTAAATCTGCATATCCTTGTCACACTTCCAAGCTGAGGGAGATGCGCTCCTTACATACATTGCACCCCCCATCACACAGAGCACGAGCCCTGTGGTGCTTCTCCCAGCTCAGCACTTCCCCATCAGCCAAGAGCAGTTTCAGGGGTGGGGTGGAGGTTTACTGGCAAGCTCAGCACATGAGTCACGCTTGTAAATCAAGTATGACTCACAGAAGAAGGAACATGTCTGCAGAACAACATAAGAGCCACTACTGGAGTTGTTTAGGATCTCTCCAACACATCCCATACCCTTTTGTAACAGTTCATCCATGGAGTTGCCAAACAACAACCCCAGTGTTCAAAGTTCTTGCCTAGGACCAGCACACCACTAGTAGAGCCACTGTTACCACTGTTCATTGCAGCTCTGAACACTGAGAAATGGCCTTCAGTACCTAAAGGGAGCCTATAAAGAGGGGGGGGCAACTCTTGGAAAGGGTGGATAACAGTAAGACAAGGGGAAATGGCTGAAGTTGAGGGAGGGCAGATGGAGGTTGGATGTCAGGGGGAAGTTCTGTGCTGTGAGAGTGGTGAGGTGCTGGAACAGCTGCCCAGAGAGGCTGTGATGCCCCGTCCATCCCTGGAGGTGTTCAAGGCCAGGTTGGATGGGGCCCTGGGCAGCCTGGGCTGCTGTGAAATGTGGAGGTTGGTGGCCCTGCATTGGTGGGGGGTTGGAGCTTTGTGATCCTTGAGGTCCCTTCCAACCCGGGCCGTTCTGTGAAGAGCTCTTACTGACTTGCCTTTTATCTTTTTGAAGCTATCTATAAAACCAAAAGTTCATTCCAGCACATTAACCTGGGTCAGGTCAGCTTCCTCCATTTATTTCAGTGCTATCAGTACACAACTTCCAAGTCAGAACTGCAGTCAAACAACAAAGCCCCACATGTAACAATAATGCCTTCTGCTGAAGGGTTTGTGTGGCATTTGCTTAGCTGACAATAAAGGCCAGTGGAAGAATGTGTGCAGCACACAAAGAACAGCATCACAAGAAGCAGGCTGATCAGGCACCTCTTAAAAATATAAGAACTGGAGGTACTCTACTACATATAAACTCCATGTTGGAGTAGCAGGAACTGGCACACTCCTTGTGCTTAAATAGATAGTCCAGATGAGAGAAAGATGCGAGGGATAGCTGAGGTTAACAGCCAAATGTTCAAGGAGACTGGTTAAGGGACTGCCAGACGAAAAAGAAAATGGAATTTAGCTTGAAGGTACTTAATGACACAGCTCAGCACTGAGCATCTTCAAAAATCCATCCCTATTAACACAGTGTAAGGAATAGATATTATCTGGTTTTGAAATGCTTCGTAACAGCAGAAATTCAAGCAAGTGATTGTTAGGCAATAGGAAAAATCCCACAGGAAAGGAAAGAATCTAACCTCATCCCATCTGCTGATTAGGTGCAGTTAATGCACAGAGTACTGGAGCTAAAGGCTGCAACAGCACTGAATACAAAACAGTGCTTTGGGGTAGATAACAGGCACCTCTGGAGGTGCCCTCATCACAAATGGAGATAGGAGCAGCTAATGGAACATGTCTGTTACACAACCCATATCCCATCTCTCATAAAAACAACTCACGAAGTAATTAAGGTCAAGACAGAAGAGATTTAAGGTGGACAGTTTTATAACTCGAAGGAGACAACAAATACATGAAATTATAAACAAATAAGAATATTTCAGAATATTTCATTGGATGCAGGAGGCAAAGCCAGCAAACTGCACAGCAATATGCACAGTGCAGTGACTGCACCACTGCTCACGGCAGATGTGTTACCAAGTTTTCTATCAAGTTCCACTCGAAAATACCACAGGTGTCACAAAGAACACAGCTCAGGGGTTGCAGATGGTGTTCCAGACAGCTTCTGTTTTCTACTGAATAGAATTTACTCATTTCAAATTTCCAGTCATTCATTTTTCTCCAGAGGGAGAAAGAGGAGAAAATACAATCAGGTCACTGAACGTTTCAGCTGCTGTGAACTTCTGGAGGTTGTTCTTGACTGGAGTGAAGGGAAGCTCAGCATCCAGCATGGGCTATGGGAGAAATCAGTGGGAAATAAGCACTCAAAAGCAACTGGTGTCTGCTCTACAAAACAGCACTGCCAGGGCACACAAAACAAGCTAATGGCAAATCCCCTATGGGCACACTGCAGCTTCACAACACGCACAGCAAAGACCTGCCAGGGAAATCTGAAACCCTTCCTGAAATGCACAGCAGTTTGGTGGATGCAGAAATGCTCACATCCTTGTCTTTATGTGGTGCTTGGAGCTGTGCATGTCGCTTTGAAGAAGTCATTCACCACTTCCAGTTCCATGGCCTTCCTAAGGAATCCTGCAAGCTTATTTCTAGGCAGAAAATAAGGAACCAGTAGGTGGTCCTTTATGAAGGCAGTCATTACTTAATGCAGTAATCTATAAGTTAAAGAGGATTTTTTTTTCTATTTGAGAGCAAGAAAGCTGGGCAACCAAGTTCTTTTATCTGCTTGAAAGCTTTCGTACAGCTGTTTTTCCTTGCTGCACCTTGCTTCTGTCTGCAGAAGATAAAACTATAGAGATGGGAAGGAACAGAGCTGGAAAACTCCAAGTAACTGCAAGGAAGAGGTCAGGTGGTTCATTATGTTAGTAAATATCTACAAGGAAATCCACAAGAAAAGTCATTTTAGTGATCAGCCTAAAGAGATCAGTCATTCTTCTGTTACAAGTCTCAATTTGTCCTGTGTTTGATGTGTGCAACAAGGAATGAGTGTGAGCCAGGACAAGGGGACAGGAATTGTGGCCTGCATTTATTAGAGTAAGCTGTGTGCTTTGGTTTGATAACATCACCCTCCAGAGCTTAATTTACTTCATGTAGAAACTGATTCTGCAGAAAAGGTTAATGGTATTGTTAACAAGCAGACTGTAGCCAAATAAACTGAAAGGTCAACTTACTGTATCTGAAGGATTTCTGTCAATGGAAGCCAAATCTCTCAAGAAAATGTCTGAAAAATAAGAACACTTTGTTATTTTCTTCTGAGGGTTAGGCTGATATTGCTAAGGCTGAAAAAACAGTATTGTTTCCTGCATTTACTGAAGCAAAACAGATCAGCTGGCAACTACTTCTACTGCAAGCCTCTTCTAGCAGCTTTCTGCTTCATGTACCACAGGGCAACTACATAGAAAAGCCATGGGAACTGTTTGATCATGTGCAGAGCACAGATAAGTCATCTAACAAACACAGGTTTTGCTACAAGCACTCACAGACTCACAAAGCTACAACAGCAGTGATTTCAAAGAGTAATATTTAGACTATAAAGTCTGTAGAACAAACATAAGAACCCAGCAATACCACAGACTGCAACAGCTTGAAGATGTGTACCCATCTGATGCATTTTTGGTTCCCCAGGCTGAGTGAAGCTGAACCCAGTGCACGTACCCTTCTCTGGGCTGCACATGGTGGGATCTTGGCCCTGTTGCTCTGGAGCAGACAGTTCCATCTCTTCCATGTCATCCACTGCTTTTAATTCACTGCTACAGTTTTCCAGCACCTGAAAAAACAGGAATTTTAACTGTTCCCAACCCTCTGTAGAGCTCAGATGTCAGCTGTGTTTGCTTCCCAGAGAGCCAGAAGCAAAACATCAGTGCAATCAGGACATAAAGCAGTTTGAATGACACCAGGAAGCTTCCTTTTCTGTTTTGTCTGTTGTAAAAGGCACTTTGGTAGCTTTGATGCAGCAAGCACAAAGGAGAAGAGGTGGCCAGGACATTCAAGGGAAGCGAGTTTACAAAAACCAACACATCTGTATTGTGTTAAACAATTCATACATGACATCTACAGGTCTCACTGGCAATTTAGGAGAGAGAGCTTTTGAACTTGAGCTTGTACAAAGGTCAGGAAAAGCAAAGCTGTGAGCTTAACACTGCGATTTATTTCCCATGAACTGTTTGCCAAGCACCCTTGTAAATGGGATTATCTTTTAAAGAGTATATAAGGAAATTCCTCCACAAATGGATTTTGAACTTAAAGTGACAAAAAGCATTCTGAGGTTGTTCTCTTGTGAGACTTTACCTCAGAAAAATACCACCAGCAATACCAAATGTTAGATTGCCAGATTCCCCAGATAGTAGCATCACCAATTCCTCATGTGACTTGTAAAAGCAGCAGAAAAAAAAGAAGAGGAGCAAACAGTAACAGACTTTAAAACACAAGCATGTACACGTGCACATGTACGTATATATAAAGACTGCTGCAGCAATGTACAGATCCAAGAAGTAACAAACATGAAGACCCTAGATTCCCAATGAAAGGAACTACTGTGGAGGCTGCATTCTGGACTTTAATGGCTACTCAGAAGCTGGCATGTCACCAAGCCCACAGACACATCAGGACTCAGATTCCCAAACTCTGATGCCTGTGTTACCAACAATGCTCTTGCTGCACCTTTGAACAGTTTAACAGCCTCGTGCTTTGATGTGGCAACAGAGACCCAGAGAGCTAGAGACTATTATTCCTTTCAGGCTTAGCCCCCCAAATGCAAATCCATTTAAAAATTCACACCAGAAAAACAGGAGGGGGCTTGAAGGAGCAGTGCTGGGACAAGTGATGAGCATCATACAGCAGAGCCAACAAGAGCTCCAAAAGGTAGCTCCAAAAATAGAGAGAATGCAAGAAAGCTGCAGCAGTCCTAATCTGTGTCCTACAGAACAGGAAAAAGCCTCATCCTGAGGAACACCAAAGGTACTTTGAATGTTTGATCAGATACCCAGGAACCCAGGGCTAATAAAAACCAACTGTGAAACCAGCAGATCAGGTTTGGGCATTTGGGCACCCTTATCCTGAGTGGGACAGGGCAAGAAAGAAGCAAGTGGAAAAGCTTTGAACACAGTGCTGAATTTCCTCAGGCATTGAAAGCTGCTGCAATAGGTAGATTTGAAGCATCAAATCACTGTTCTGCACACAAGCATGATGAATCAAGGTGCCTACCCACTTAAGATGTGAATATCTGTCACTCTGCCTTCAGCTAATAGTAGAAAGATGTTTGAAGGACATACATGAACTAAGCATGACTTACCCAGGTGCCCTCTGCTGCACCAGCAACAGGATTGTGTTCTTCTGCAGCTGGGGAAATGCTGAAAGAGAAACAACAATCTTTTAATTCTTCTCAATCAAAAGATTGCGACGTGCACAATTGATTTGAAATGAGCTCTCCAACTGTGTTTGCTGGTTTGGCACAAGTCAGCTATATAAAGTTTTCTGGACAAAAAAATCCCAAACTCCTAGCCTGCAATGAGATGACATTTGGGCAGAGCTCTTAACGTCTGCTTGAGGGATGGAAAAGACAGAATGACTTCACAACCTTTGTCCCTCCCCCACCGAAAGAAGGTTAACACTTAATGGACATTAATTCTTCTAATTGAAACTGGACAATTATTTGCACCAAGCTCAATTAACAGCTGCCTGAACGTGGCTACCTTTGTTCAAGAAAACCACCAGGGAGAGTTGTTTCAGTGGGACATGGGTGCACTTCCAAACGCTGTGCTGGGGGGCAGCCTTTGAGCAGTGGTGTCGTTTGTTTTGCAGTTGTGTCCTCAGGGTTACAAGGCACAGAGCTGCCCTGCAGCAAAGCTCTTCTGGATGATCTTGGAGCTGTCAGACCTTCCCAAGTCTGCTGCCCTGATCTGCGAGGTGTCTTTGAAAGTGAACCTGAAAAAGAGCATTTAAAGCTTAGTTACAACAGCAATTTCCAGAGGATGGAATGGTTAGGATTCTAGCTAGTAACACTCTACTTTTTCTTGTGTGTTTTACATAAATATTATATTTGCTCTGTACACTGCAAGCAGAAATTGAAAAAATGATGTGGTGGCAACCACAGCAATTAGTTACAAAGCTACCTGAACACCAGCTAAGCAATTTAGCACTACTACTCTTCACACAGAACCTGAAACAATGAGATTTGCTGTTCTCATTAAATCTACGCAGTGGAAGCTGTTGTCATGAAACTCAATATCTCATATTATATAATTTTGATAGAATTAAAGATAAATTCCTAATTGATTTTTATAACACTCATTGAGAGAATCTTTGGAAACTTAAAATCATCTTTGGCACTTGAAATAGGGGAGAGAAGCAGCGCAACTGTCAAACCAGGATCACAGAAGGCACGAGCTCCACAGATTGCAATAAGATAAATGCCCAAATTACAGCCTTGTTTGGAGCTTCTGCTCGAGAAAGGCTTCCAGCAGCTTTCCTCGCAGATTGGAATATACTGCAATCTTGTTGCACATGAATTCTGATTACAGATGTGCTGTATTTGCAAGCTGGAAGCCAGCAAAATTTAGTTCACACTAATTCCAATTCCTATCTTACAAATAAAAGCCATCAGCCTGCACTCACTCTGAACGTGTTGCCTGCTAAGTCTAGGAATGCCCAGATGGAAATTTCATTGCTAAATGTACGTTAAGAAAAAAAATGGGTCCAACTGCTTGTAACTCTGTATCTAGGTGAAGATTTCACATCATGCTGATTTGAGCAATTATGGCAATCACGCAGAACAGTTTACTTTGGTTCCCTGATGTAACAAATCATTAGATGAAACATTAATTGTGCCTAGCACTGGAGTTATATCCAGTATAAACAGCATAATCTGTCTGCAGTGAGCTTGGTTCAAATCTCTTCAGCATTTTCAGGTCAGAGAAATAATGATTAAGCTTCACCCACCTGGAAAGCTTTTTACAGGGCTTTCAATTCTGAAAAATCCTGCTTCAAAAACCACTTTTTCTACTTCTGGTTGCTTATCCTGATACGCACTATCAGCAACTCCATCCTGCTTCATTTTATCCCTCATAGCAGCTTTCACAGCAGCAAGCCTCTTTCGGGCAGCAGTCCTTCCAGCTGCTCCCAGCTTTGGTTTACAGACCACATTTGGAACAGTCTGCTTCTGAAACAGAAAGAAAATAGAAGCTTCAGGCAAATAGCTGCACGTGAACATCCAGGAGGCTGCTGGACACAGACAGCAGCAGGCCTCTGCTAGAGACAAGATCTCTGTTTATCTCCAGAAAGTCTTGGTCTGCCATTTATCTGCCAAGGTTCATTTACAATGGCAGTTTTAAGTCAGTTTCTCACACCAAGTTCTCAGCTCACAAATACTTCGTATAAATTTTCCTTAGTGCTTTCTCTACCTGCTGTAGTTAACATTTTTGAAAAGAGTGGGGTGCAGGGACTCCTAGTGGCACGGACATAAAGTAACTCATGGGCAGACACTCGTTAAGCAGTGAAGTCTCTCCTGGCATTCATATTTCAAAGGAAGTTTTGTGTCGTGTACAGTAACTACAGTTGAGACATTTATGGTCAGCTGATGTAAGACTACACTTCCTCCAGTTCCACGTTTGGAGTTTCTTATTGATCACATCATTGTTATGATCAGTTGAGCAGTCTCGAGGAATGGCATGGAGTTCAGGCAATGTGAATATGATTCTTAATGCTGATTAATGCTGAGTGATTAAGAACAGCTACATATTGCTTGGAGAAGAGAAAGCTCCAGGGAGATCTCATTGTGCCCCTCCAGTACTTGAAGGGAACGGATAAACAGGAGGGGAATGGCTGTTTGAGGGTGGATGGTGATAGGACAAAGGGGAATGGCTTTAAACTGAGACAGGGGAGGTTTAGATTGAATATTAGGAGGAAGTTTTTCCTCCAGAGGGTGGTGAGGCACTGGCACAGGTTGCCCAAGGAGGCTGTGGATGCCCCATCCCTGCAGGCATTCAAGGCCAGGCTGGATGTGGTTCTGGGCAGCCTGGGCTGCTGGTTGGCGACCTGCACACAGCAGGGCTTGGAGCTGGATGAGCACTGTGCTCCTTTGCAACCCAGGCCATTCTGTGATTCTATATTCCAAACCAAAATGTCAATAAAATAACCTACATTAAAGCCTATTCTGCAATAACCAATCCCACATTTGGGGCAGTGTCAGACCTATTAATGCTCAGAGGATTAGCTGCCCATGGTCCTACCTTAATAAGTCACCTTTATCACTTAGCACTCACTGCTTCAAACTGCCAGGCACTTCTAAATTCCTGTGACACATCATTGCCAACACTGGTAGCTCAGAGAAAATGTTTCACATCCAAAGGGTAAATTTCTGTTCCAAATTTAACTCATTTGCCTTACTAACAAAGAGTTCAAGGACTCCATGAGCCATTGCTAATTCTCAGCTCTAATCTTCCCAACAGAAAGGAGCATCTAGTACCAAAAGCACCAATTCTGAGCACACATGCAAGATGCAAGGAAGGAAGGTGAAATTTGAGAAGAATTTCGCTGGACTTTTTGATCACCACCAACATCTATAAGCAGGGCATTAAAAGGAACTTTCATTTATGAAAAGTATTCAGCACTCCAACAGCTTACCAGTTATTTTAAATATCTCAGTACATCGTTGTATCTGAATGCTTTAGGAGCCATACGTACCTTGACAGCTTCTTTGCCTGGTACAGCAATTGGTTGCCATTTGTTATCTTGAAGCTTCTGCAGATTATCAAATTTCTTATTCACATCTTCAATCTATTGGAAATCCCAGAGAAGTCCAACTTTAGTTTACAAGATTTACAACATTCACACACACAAAAAACCACTGGTTTAGGAAGTAGATGAAATGAACAGCCATGCTTATATTTGTTAAATACTTGTGCTTCAAACACCAAAGCAAAAGCTTTGCAATGGGGTTGGACTCCATGACCTCTAGAGGTCCCCCCCATGCCCTACAATTCTGTGATTCTGAGTAAACCAGCAGATGACCAGAAGAAACCTGAACTGCCCCCAGAGATACAGCAAGCCTAAGTAAGACATCTTTTTCCAGTAACTGGTTCTACAAAAGATTGCTTAACTGGTCCATGAAGTGTAAAACCACAGCATACCAGCTGGTGCTATTCACCGTTACAAAACGTTAAGCAAGGACGCATATTTTTAACAGGAAAAAATATCTGAGTCTGAATATTCAAATGAATAAAACAGATTCACTGCATTGTTTGTAAATACCTCCATCATGTGTATTTATTACAGTAGGCAAACCTGCAAGGACACACCTGAAAATTAATCATATCCCAAAATCCATCCAAGTCTGTACACGTCGTTTCCTTTTCACCCCGCTTGAATTCACAGTTATCCACCAGTCCTTCAAACTGTTTAAACCTTTCTGCCACAAGCAGTCTTGTCTGACCAACTGCTGTGCGGATGAGATCTTTAGCTGATGGTAACAAGAAACCAAGGGAAGAAATTAGAATATATTTAGAATATACTGGAATAAGCCATCATTCCTCAACTGATATAAATAAGTAACTGAAGAGTTTGGAATCTGCTTGCTCTTTAAGTTCAGACCTGCAATGCAGTTCACCTGCAGCCCATCTCTCCACTGAAATCCTCTAACCTTCCTTTCAAACAAAATAAAACTAAAATTGCTACCAATTCTGCAAGTCTTTGAAATAAAAAAGCACAGGCAAGTTAAAACATTTATATGTATTTCTTAAATCTCATGCATTCAGACATACTTAGACTTTACAGAAAAGCAAGAGGCACTTCAACATTAACTACCAGCAGCTCAGTATTCACTACTGTCACTTCAAACATCACACTTAAGATGTAACATTAGGAGATGAGCCTACTATTACTAATTATGCCTATCACAGCTCAGTCTTACCATCCTCTGGAATGTCCAGCTCAAGTTTTCCATCCCACTGAAGGCACTGAGACATCAGTCTTTCTGTCTCAGATTGTAGAATGTTTCTTGAAATAAATAATGAGAAAAGTAATTTGAGGATGTTCCAACTGTTGTCACTATTTGTAACTGTTAATTATTATTCCCCTTTTGCTTTCAGACAAGTTACACAGTCTTTGAGCAGAACCCATTAGATTGCTTCAGTTAAGACTAGCTGTAAGGTAATTTATATTACTTTCAAGCTTTATGTACACAGGATGGAGCATTAGTCTTCAGAATTTTATATTCTTTACTTGCACTAACAATAGGAAAGGAAAGACAGCAATGATGACCACCAAAATTGCTACTGACAGACATCAACCATCATAAGCTACTGTTTGCAAGCTGTTACTCGTTCAGGACCCAGAACAGACAACCAGGAAGGCAAACAAACAGACACAAACCTGAAATAGGGCACATCATGCTCTTGCTCTCTTATATCATCCGACTTTGTTTCAGTCACTGCCATTTCTGTAGATACAGGAACTGTTTCGTTGGATCTCTGAATGGAAGCCTCCTTATCTGATTCATTTGCTGAGAAATATGGAAGGCATTTACTCAGAATCTGGTGAAAACTAGAAAAGGTACAGTGATAAACCATACGTGAACTTGATACCTTCTCCTTGCAAACTTGTAGTCACTTGCTGTTCTTGAATGTCTTGAAGAGAAGGTGAAATCTGACTTCTTAAATTAGGCTCCTGTACCTTAGTTTCACTGGATTTTTCAACTGTATTACTAAGGGAAAAAAAAGAAAAAGAGATAAGCTTAAGAATTAAGAAATGTTGAGAAACTGACCTCAAATCTGACCAAACACACAAGACCTCAAAATTCTGAAGACTATTTTTGGTTCACACAACAACTGTGATCAGGTGTACCAACAACTTGTTACACATGGAATCCCACTACAGAAACACCACTTCCTCTGTAGCATCACAAAAGCTGCATTGCATTTTAGGTTATTAGAAGCAAGAACCTTACACTGGAGATTTGGAGAAATCCCAGAAGGCATCAGGTGATAAAAATGCATTTGCCCTAGATGGAGTCATGGGTGTAACTTTGTAGGCTGTTAGTCCTTCTAAGGGCTGAAACACAAAATTCTGTGGTGCAAAGGAGCGCGTTCTGGGTCTTCCAGGAGCAGAGTTGTTCTTTTCTACAGATGTCTGTTCCTGTTTAAGTTCTGATGCTGAACAAATCACTGGGTCCAGTGGAGCATTTTCGTTCACTTCGTGTTTAATAGGAATTATCTGCACGAACAAAAGAAGCACCATATTACCAAATCACAAGGTGTTTACTAATAGATGTTAGCAGAATTGTAAGACGACTGCTTGAAAGCCAACAAAAAAGGAACAATTTCAGGTAATTTGCTTTCTACAACTGTGTGCATGTACAGAAGTCTTGATTTACCATAGGCCAACTAGCTTTTGACACCTGCAAATCATTCTCACAGCAGGAGTAGCAATTGACTACGAGGAATGTAATAATCCACTGAAGGGGCCAGAGCAGCAGAACACCTGGCCTAGGGGAGCAGTAATTCAAACCAGCAGATGCTTCTCTCACTGTTAGAAGAAAATGCTTGAAGGTGATGAGCTCCTCAAGAGCTGAGTAGCATACTGGCTCCAAATCCAACTAGGCCTGTGGAATAATCAGTTTATATACACAACCTAACTTAAAGGCTGAAGAACAAACTAACAAAAGTTGATAAATTCTTTACCAAGAGAGTAGTGAGGTACTGGAACAGGCTGCCCAGAGAGGTTGTGGATGCCCTGTCCTTGGAGGTGTTCAAGGCAAGGTTGGATGGGGCCCTGGGCAGCCTGGTTTAGCATTTAACGTGGAGGTTGGTGGCCCTGCATGTGTCAGGGGGGTTGGAGATTCATGATCCTTGAGGTCCCTTCCAACCCTGGCCATTCTGTGATTCTGTGATAGTTGAGGAATGCAGCCCAAGAAAAGGAGAATACAAGTGCACTTAAAAGCAGAGAATGTTGTTGAAAGAGAAGGAAGTTCACATTCCTATGAGATGAGCAACAAGGCAATTGCTCAGAACGTTTCTGAGGTACCTGTATTGAGATACTGTTAGCTCAAATTAGCCCAAAGATCTGAGACTGTTTCTTGAGCAAAGATGTATCTTCAAGACACTGGAAGTTTTGTTGTACTTTAGATACCCTTGCTTGGAATGTAAGCTTTGAATTTTAACAGATTTCTTGTGGCAATATGACTAATGTTACAGCAAGGGCTTACCACCTGGCAGCATCAAGCAACTCCTGCTTGTGAAGAGATCCTTATCTGAATTAAGATACAAGTGCCTTTTACCTCCTGTCAGTGCTTGTGCACAAAGAAACCAGCTTGAAGACAATGCTTGTACACAGCTGCAGTTGCTGAAATAGAACTGGAGAAGGGAGTTGTGGGGGAAGCACTAAGTGAGAGGGAAGAGTGGAGTATAGGGAGAAGGAGAGAAACAGATGCTTCTGCACAGGACTGTCAAGGCATGAATGCATACATGAATCATTTAGGAACCTGAACTGGAGGACACACAGCATTCAAATACAGTGGTCTCTACACAGAAGCAGTAAAGTTTGGTCTGCATTTTCAGTGGGATAACAAAAGTGACCATCTTTAATTATAGCTGGGAATCTTTTCCCCTATGATATTCGCCATGTTCTCAGCATTCAAAAACTGAACATGCATTTCATCCTCAGATTCTAAAGCCTCACATTATAATTCCCTGATCACTGAAGGGATGCATTCAGAGTAAGCTGCACGAATAAACGCACCGTATGAAGTTTATAAACATTAGATACAACCAGAAAACTGAAAAAGGTCTTTTCTTTTTGTTAAGTAGTGGAAACATCATGTAAAAGATTTGTCATGCAAGATCTCAAGTTTAAATCACTGTCCAAAGCTGGAGGATTGGTAAACAAGTCATCCACACTTGCAAAGCAAATTTAGTCTTAGGTCTTAACAGTACAACAAAAATACAGTTTTGTCCCAAAATCTATTAGTGAGCTTCCTGTTACTTTGACACACGAGTAAAAGAATATTTAAGAAACATGTGCACTACTATTTTTACTGGCTCTTAAATCAGCTTTTCCATTTCAAATATTTCATGACCTACCTCTATGACATCAGGTTTGACTGCTTTCTTCTGCTTTGCTGCATTTGCTGGCTTTCTCTGTGACACGTTACCTGAAGAGGAACAAACTCCAAGTCAAAACACATCTGATTAAAAGAAGCATTTTCAAAAGATTGATGCAAAAGTCTGGTGGTTAAAGACAGGGAGAGATGGCTTTGCTTCTTGAGTGGGAGGGAGCTAAAGGGCAGATACCTAATTGCAAGTGTTCATTCAAAAGAAAACCTGGCCCAGGATTTAACAGTCTAATAAGAGATAAATCACTGGGAAAAGAGATTCATTAAGCCATTAGCCTTCACACATCATCAGGCGTTCAAAAGAGTCACCTCATTTCCTTAAAGGCTGAAGTGACTGAAGTCAAATGAGTTTAGATTGTGACTTTATGCATGGCACAGGACTTCTACAGATGGCTCAAAACCATTACTATCATAGTATGCACTTTCAACCTAGGGGTTACTTGTGTCATATACAAGAGATATTGCAGAACAGTGGAGAACACCCTGAGCATGAGATCATACTACTAAAAATATCCCCTTCATTAAACCATCAAATTCCCCTACTTGAGTAAGCAAACATGAAGAAAAAATTCCTGAGTTGGAGAATATGGGCTCCCATCTTGTCCAGACATAGCTATTCTTTATGAGTCTTATCAATCCTTAAGCAGTAATGCACCAAACTGGCAAATCTTTACCAGTCCAGTTTTTGTTCTTTCAGTCTGTAATTATTATATTGATATTGACAGCCCACACAGATGGATTTTTACAGCAAACTGCCCAACGTTGGTTTCAACATCATTATTTAAATATTCCAACAGAGGTCCAGGTGAGATTTTAAGTCATGGGTATTTGCTCATTTTCTTATGTGACAATTTAGCACTATTGCTTTGGTCTATTTATTCCAAAGAGATGCTACAAAGCAGAATGTAGTGTGCTAAGCCAGTTCAGAACAAGCTGATATGTATCTCTAGAGCAGAGTGACTGGGATAAACAAGACCCTAAAGACAACACTGTCCTGGTGTATGACTTGACAGTGAACTTAACAGCAGTGCAAATTCACACGTCGTTTCCAGTACTCAGGCACACAGCATCAGCCAGGACACCTCTGTACACCATATGAAATCCTTAGATACCAGCTACACATGGCTTATACTTACTGTCTCACTTACCAGTAGCAGCTGCAGTTGTTTTTGGCACCTGTCTAGCTGCAGAGGCAGCTGCTCTGGTGACTCTTACATTTGATGCTGTCTGGACTGAAGGCTGCAACACTAAGAAATATTAATTCCAGAGATTACAAAGCTTGCTCAGGTGATGTGTTTAAGTAGTATAATACAAAGTTTTGGTTTTGCAGTGATCAGAAAGCTGTACAAGTAACTATCAGTTGCATTAGTTTGTTAGAATCATATAATGCCTTGGGTTGGAAGGGACCCAAAGGATCATCGAGTTCCAACCTTCCTGCCACAGGCAGGGCCACCAACCAGAACCAAGGAGTGGTTTTGTCACTTCTGTGCAAGGAGTGCTAAACAAAGGCAGCACAGCTCAGCCTTGGCATCAAGGCAATGCTCTGCAGAGCCTTGACAGAAAACATCTCCATTGTACAGTAGTGCTCCCAGTGTCACGATAAGACCAACATATCAGCGTGCCAGATGCTAAGCACAAGGCTTAATGAACCCTCCTCAGTGCTCCTGCAATCACTGAGTTGACATCATCCTATCTTTCAGATGAAGCTTTCTGGAGGAATAACTGGTAGTTATCTGCACAGCTGGAATCTTAAGCAACTCTGTAACACCCAATGATGCCTTGGTCATTACAGTAAAGCATTCTAAAGTGTGAATTTATTAAACTACGTTAAAGTATCCTTTAATTTTAATCATACCTGAAATATTTTTTTTATAAAATATGACTCAAGTTCATGCACTGCCATCTTAATCATTTTCATCCATGTGTACCTTTATTTACTACCTTCAAAACCAGCAGCATTAACACGCACACAAAAATTTAACAGCTCTTGATTTCATGCTCTGCCTTTCTATATCTGCAGGAAATCTAGTAGCCCACTTGGTTACTGTTAATGATATTTGTCTCTTACAATGCTGCTCTGCTTCCCACAGAATTGCTATTTGAAAAGTTGGGAAAAAAATCACTTGCTGAATAACCATAACATTGGATTTACCCAAACAGACACTTCCCTAATGTTTTCATGCTAGTGTTTAAGCACATAATGCATAGTCTTCATTCCACAAAAGCATTATCAAATCTAGTGATCAATCTAAATTAATGTTTTAATTGTTATTCAAACACTGATGAGAAATCTGTTCAGCATTCACTGAAAGCATGAATGAAATTTATTTAAATAGACATCTGCTGCTTGCTGACTTAATTACATGGTGATGTGAAAATAACTTCACACTGAATTACAGAATATCATGTGTTAACTATTCTACATGACTTAGCATTAACAACTTGAAGCCTTGACACTGCAGCACTACCAGGAAGAATTTATTATTAAATGCATTCTCTACTTGCTTAAACAGAGATGGCTTGGGTTGGTTTTGTTTGATTTTGTTTTGTTTTCTCAAGAAATGTATGGAATCTTCACTCTGGAAGTGCAACAGCTAGACAGATACAGAAGGAGCTGTTTTGAAATATGAAAACAACAGACTGTGCTTGTCATCATGGAAGCAGACAACCACACATGTACTCAGTTACATCAGTGTGTATCAGAAGTTGGGGCTCTTGCTCCCTGTGCTGTATGCCCACGTGCTCTGCCAGAAGACTATTCTTTCTAAACCTATTTCAGTGTCACGTTATGCAACAAGTTTCACGTAGCATAACTACTGCATAGTATCAAACTTCACTCAAAATATTTACAGCTCACATAATTAGCTGTTTTGGGGGAGAGCTGTAACACCAAAATTCATATTTTACTTCTATCAGCTATCTCTTGTTTTTTCCAGTCATTTAATCTATAATGACAGCAGCAACATGTGATATTTCCCTTAGAGGTAAATAGGAAGCTCTGTATTGCTCCAGCTGTCAGACAGCTAGCAGCCATGCAATTCTGCCTATTGACCTCCTTCTCCCTTTCCTGCAGTGATAATCAGTAACCACAAGTGCATTAAATATCCTGCATTCCACCTCCCAGTCTACAGAAGCTACAAGCACATAAAATACCTACAGTCACATGATCCATAGTCTTTCAGCAGTTGCCTTTGTTCTAATTGCAAGAAACTGTCATCCTAAAAACTCTGCTGTTCCCTAAACCCCAACAACACACACTGGGGATGTTTCCTAAAAACATTCCTTGCCTCACTCTCACAGTGCTACGACTACTGGCTCAAAAGAATAACAGCCATGTCCTTTCAGACCCAGATGTGGGCCCGTTCTAGTTTCATACCTTTGCCCTTTGCAGCCATTTTCTCTGTGCTCATCTGCTTACGTGCTGCTTGTGTGGGGCGCACGCTCTGCCCATTGGCACAGACCTACAAAGGAACATCACATTTCATGAAGCACCAGGATTGCCAAAGTGAAGTAGCCCAGCTTCTTTCCTCATCTTGCTCTCCCAGGCTCCAGTAAAACAAAAGGCAGGTAATTTAGAACCAAGGTATTTGTTTTACAAAGGTTTTACAAAGGTAAAAATGCCAGAGATATTAAGGATAACTAAAATAGCTCATTTCAGATATTAAAATACCAACTAATTAAGATTTTATCTAACAGAATGAAGAAAATTACTCAGTTTACTCTGAAAGTAGATGGTAATTATTGTTGCATCTTGGTACATATTGTGTGATCTAAAAGCCACTTTTCAGGAAAAAAAAGATCAGAATTAACTCAGTTCTCCCTTCACGCAGCCAGGATTGGAAACCTTCCAAATGCATTCAAATTACATAAGGCAAGATTGCTAGATGCAAATTATAGCTCCTTTTGCAGATTACTGCAGATGACATTCCTCAGAAAGCCTACTTTTTAATACAAATAAAACCACAAGCCTATCAAGATTCCTAGTAAAATATGCCAACAGTGAATTGATTCCAACTTTTAGCAGTAAAGATTAATCATGGGTGATAGCTACAGTAATTGCTTTCCAACAACATACATCTTCATTTATAAGGCTTGAAGGCTGCAGCATTAAATGGAAGACTGCACAACTGCTATGTCTTCTTGGACTTCTAGCCACTGGTTTTACTTATTTATTATCCAAAATAGGTGGAAAGTACAAGACAAAGATCTTCTTGCATAGGGAATTCTCAAAATAAAACAGCTTCATACCCAGCTTGTTGAAAATAATGCATTTGGCAGTGATAGTCTTACATACATTAATGTGGGGTAAAATATTCTACAAGTTAGGTATTTCATCGGTATGAAATTAAGATGCCAAATCAATAAGATTTCAGATCTGTCACTACAGGCTCCATGCAATCAAATGTATGGGGTCTGATGGACATCTCAATCACACACCATTAAACAGGTAGCTAAATAAGATGGCATAACATACAATAATGCTTTCAGGTTGAATTTTAAGAACAAGTGCTCTTCCCCACTGTGAGAGCAAAAACGTACAGTGTGTAACAAGCAGTCCATTTACTGGGTTCAACTTTCTGAAGCTGCAGTGAAATGCAGAAGAACTGACTTCATAGTCTGCATTCACAGAAGACTTTCTGCGGCCAGGAGAGCTTCACAGGTTCTCCAAGCCAAAGTATTTACTTTCAGTCTCATTACTGCCTCTATTCTTACTTGCATTCCTTGCTGACTGCAATAATATTTCACAGGGAAAAAGGAATCTGAAAGATCATTGCACTTTTCTCTGTATTGACTCAATCAAACTCTGTAGCTCAGTTCAACACAACGCTCAAATCACCACAATAAATTCTATCAGCTTGCTGAAAGCTTTTCTGACCTAATCTGCCCTTTTCATCAGGAAAACCTGCTTGGAGGTATCATTTTTCACGTCAGAATACAACCCTGATTTACATGCTCAAGAATAATAGCATCTTTTTCTCCCAATTTATTCACTAAAGTTCATTTAAGAGACAAACCGTAGAGGGCTTCAATGCAGTTGATATCGCAGCCTTTTCTGTTTGGTTCTTGGCCTTTGATCGAGTAATCCTCTCAGAGAAAGCAGGAGCTGCCTGGAAACATTCCCCAGGAAACAAGGTTAACATACTCCTTTCTCTCCCTGCCATCACTGCCAGAGTGAGCAAGAAGCCTAAGTTAGGTAAAGCAACAAGCCTTGTGCACTTGATAGTCAAAACATATCGAGTGAGTGATTTGAAAAAGTCAGATGGACTGAATACAAACAAGTTACCAGTTCCAAAACAGCTTAGCTCTTTTATTTGCAGGTGAATCACTATTTTTTGAGCTGAGGCCATAGTCACAACTACAAAAATTAACACAGCTCTTATATTTCTTGCTTTGTTAAAAAAAGAATGAAATTACTCCCTTACCATTCCTTATTACAAAATATTTATGAATTCTTTATACTATATTTACTTCACATAACTTGCATAAAACTTACATAACCATAAATTTTAATGTCATACACTACATAAGATTCATTTAGAAATTTAATGTTACTCTCATTACCTTTTCTTTTGGCTTTGTTGTTGTGGGAACTTCAGGTGCAAGTGAAAGAAATCCACATGCAGTAGGTTTATATAACCCAACTTTAAACACACCCTTTTTTGCTTTTTCTCTTTGTTCTTTCAGTTTTCGGAGCTCCTTCTCTTCTTTATAGCGTTGAAGCATTTCCCTGCGTTCATTCACCCTCTTGGTGGCTGCATCTGTAGATTGTTCTGAGGTAAAGACAGACATCATTTATTACATTGGAGATATTTTTCATCCAAGTCAAAGTCAGAAACTAAGCAAGTTGGAGAACTGCTAGACAAATGTTCCAAGATCCAAGATGAACACACCAGGTCGGCAAGAAGAGTACAAGGATGTGGAAGTTTTAGAGCGGGTCCAGAGGAACGCCATTAAGATGATCAGAGGGCTGGAGCACCTCTCCTGTGAGGAAAGGTTGGGGGAACTGGGCTTGTTCAGCTTGGAGAAGAAAAGGCTCCAGGGAGACCTCATGGTGGCCTTCCAGTACTTGAAAAGTGCATAAACAGGAGGGGGAACGGCTGTTTGTGAGGGTGGATGGTGAGAGGACAAGGGGGAATGGCTTTAAACTGAGACAGGGGAGGTTTAGGTTGGATATGAGGAGGAAGTTTTTGAGCCAGAGGGTGGTGAGGCACTGGCACAGGTTGCCCAAGGAGGCTGTGGATGCCCCATCCCTGCAGGCATTCAAGGCCAGGCTGGATGTGGCTCTGGGCAGCCTGGGCTGCTGGTTGGTGACCTGCACACAGCAGGGGTTGGAGCTGGATGAGCACTGTGCTCCTGTGCAACCCAGGCCATTCTAGGATTCTATAAAAGTGCTGCAAGTTCATGCCATTCTGTAGTGTACAGGCTGCTCCTGCAAGGCTATTAGTACTAAAGTAAACACTTAGGCATTAGATTGTTGATTAGCTGTTTTGTACCAGCTTCTCTATTGAAATACTTGCATGGACTGTATGGCCATGTTCAATGAGTTGCAGTCAACTCTACAGTTGTGTAATTATCACTGGAAGCTGAAGATCAAGTCAGCTTTAGATAACAAATACTGAAGTCTGCTGGAAGCTCAGACTAAGTGACATGAAATGTGAGAGAACAAAACCTTGTGATGTGTCTGTCTGGAAAAACAAAACAAACCTACTGAATGTTAAAGTTCATCAAAGGCTGTAATTTCTCAAGTCATGTATTTGATGTGATTCCATAGGGATTTGAGTCTTTCCTTCAATTATTTTTTCCTATCAAAATACTGAAGGTGGAGAACACTTTGATACCTTTAAAGAGTTACTTAGTTCTTTAGCCATCAGCACACAGAAGAGCCACACAGGCAGAATCCAGAACGTGCAAGACTCGTTTTCCCAGAGAAAGGAGGAATTGACAAAAAGAGGCAAATTAAAAATAAAATTGTAAGATACATTGCCAATTTCTAACCATTCTTAAAGCCTGTGACAGATAGCAGTTTTACAGAGATGAGATTATAAATCGAAGGTTCACTTCTTGAATAACAAAGCCATCCTAGTGAGTATTAACAGCACAATGCATCCTTCCTTAGGAGGCTGTGGACAAAATTAAGTAAAGACTAAAAACAGTCCTGGAGTCATAAAGGATGTTATTAAGTCTATTTTCTTGATAGTTATAAATTAAAACATGGAGACCACATTTAACAAATTAAAAAGCTATATAACAGGCTTTACTTACTCTGTTTCAAACTGCTGTTCTCCTGTGAGCACGTTTCGCTTGCCCCACTTCCTTGAGAAATCCCCCTCGTTTTTGACACCTGAACATTGACATCTGTCAGTCCAAACTGTCTGCCCTTTTCAAACAACTTGTGTCTGCTCTCCTTTTGGAGCATGGATTTTCTGCGAGCAACTTTCGTTCTGATGGTTTCTGTGCTCAAATCCTTTTTGTACCGACTGACAAAGTGGGAGGTAGCAGCCATCTTGATTATCCTGGACAAAAATGGTAACGACAGGAAAAAAGGAGACAAGGTTTGTCGTGCCCTTTTTATTCGAGTTTGTATGTCACAAAGATAGATCTAGCTTCTTCATTGCTGCATTTGCTCTGGTACATGTACAAATGACAGTTTCAGCAATGACTCTTCATTTTATGTAGTCAAGGTGCTTGTTTGCTTGCTAAGTAATCAACAACTCTGAGAAAGAATTAGCAGGGAAGGCTTTGTCACTGCCAGGGACTGACTAGCCTGTTTTCAACACAGATGTTTTTCTCGTTAAGGAGACAAGCAAGCAAATGACAAGGTTGTAGGACAATACTTGGAAGCAACATTGCCACTAAGCATTTACTTTATGCCCTATCTGATGGCAAGGCATTTTTGTCATGCATCAGAGTATTTGGCTCTGGTTCCTAATTGAGTTTCCAGGATGCAACTGTAACACAATAGCATTTATTTCCAGCAGGATTTCTGCCTACCTTTTTAACTTGAGGAAGACCTGATGAAAGCAACAGTTGATCTGTACATGCTGTGCTTACTGCAATGCAAAAAGCACGAATCCCTGCACCCTACTGAAGCCTTTTTGAGAGTTCTCATGCTTCTGGGGAGGGGAATATAAGGTGAGTCTGTGCTCTGGGGCTGGCAGTGGCAGCTCCTTGTGCCCAACTTCATGGCAGTAGCTATGCCCAGAATAACTCACACATCACCAGCAGGGCTTGCACAGCCATTTGGAAGGGCTTGGGATAGATATTAGAGACAATGAATGAGTCAGAAATCTATATGGCTATGCTTTGCATCTTTTTCTCCCCGATATGCTTAGCACTGCAGGAGGACAAAACAGCTTAAGGAAGTTTAAATGATCAAATGGAAATGAAAAAGCAAAACTCAGCTTAAAGTACCCAAGTCAGAGACCAGATGTCTTCCATATGATCCTGGAAGCACGTCCTGGTGCATGTCAGTACCAACTGATTGGTTAATATCTTCCATTGGTTAATGTCTTTTCATTTTATGTTCCAACTTTCAGAAATTCATTAAAGATGCCAGTTAAGGATTGCAAATGACCAGATGGAGTCTACCACAGTTCACAGGTCATATTTACCCCAATTTACAGGTAAGCAATTAAGGAATGTTAATCCATGAACTTCTCCAATAATCATCTTTGGGCTGATCTTGTTAGTAGTTGCTATGGTGTTACTAAAAGCCCTTCAGAAAACAGTTAGTGGAAGTATACCTCTACTCTCTACCTCCTACAATAGGCAGTTTTTTTATACCCACCAAAAGAAAACCATTCTTAAAAGCAGCAGTTACCATCAAGACCCTACAGCCATCCTCTGTGGACATCACAGTGGTGAAGATGATAATATTAAAGATTTGAGAGGCTCAGCCAAGAAGTTTATCCAAACTAAACAGACATTTCTTTCAACCAAAAGCTAGCTGTCTGTGTATGATCCCAACTGCTCACTTCTGAGCCTGGTCTGCTGGTTGGCGACCCTGCACATAGCAGGGGGTTGAAACTAGATGATCATTGTGGTCCTTTTCAACCCAGGCCATTCTAAGATTAATACAGGGTGCATCAATCCTGTAAGAGCCATCCCTCCAGACTCCCACCTTACTTGATTCCTCCTTAGAACTGTGACACCTAGCAAGCTACTCGAGGAGTCCGTCTGCCCAAGGATGGGTACCTGGCTTTGTTAACATCAGAGTGATTCTCTCCTTATCTCTTTAATTACTCTGTAGCAGCACTTAGGCTTGGGTATCTGCAAAGAACAGGGGAGCAAAGTAGGGAGATGCCATTCAAACGTACCAAAGTATGAGCAGAGATCATGAAGCTTCTGCCTGAGCTGTCAGAAAAAATACATGCTATTATACACAGGGAATCCTCAGGACTCCGACAATTTATAGGTCAAATTTCCAATGTTTGAGTCTCCTTATCTGTTCTCTACAAACACAGCAGCCTATCCAGACTGCACGCATGTTTTTTAAATTGTGGAAGGTACCAGAGCCATACAGTAGCTGTTAGGTATCAGGCAAGCTTACAAAAACCTGGCAAAGATTTTAACACATTTCAAGGACTTTCTTGCTTTGTCTTCCATTTTAAGAAAGTGTGGCTCCAGCTATTGTACTATAGGCTTTCTTAGGTCCTTCTGCCACGGATAAGCATTAACAGCAAACTTCTAAGCTTTTTAAGATTAAAAAAAAAAGCTTTTTTAAGCTTTTTAATTGCTTTTGAGCAATTAATCTTGCAGACACGATCGTGAGAAACCTGAAGAAAACAAATGCAATGTAGGTAGAGACAGATTCCCCACTCACTTTTAACACAAAGATGCCCTCATCCCACATCCTGGATTGAGAAAGGCCAGGAAGAAAGCAGTAGTCTGTTATAGCCCCAGTGCTTACAGATTACAGCAAACACAAATAACATTTTAAAGTCGGAACGCGGCCCAATTCAGGACCTGGATCCTCGGGGACTACAGCAAACCGCACACCGCCTCCCAGCTCCCCCTGAGGGCTGCCTCAGGTTCTCCGTCCCGATGCCATTCCCGCGCTGCCAGCCCCGCCATACCTTGCCGAGCGCGCCGCTCCGCTTCCCTCAGCGCTGCCGCCTCCACTCGCTTTCAAATTTCACCTGACGCCTCTGATTGGCTAGCTCCGGCCAATCACCGGGCTTTCATTGGCTCCCTCCTAACGGACGGTTGATGGGCAGAGCCTAACTCGCGTAGTGAGCTGTTTACTGGTCAGCGTCATCGCCGTGCTTGATGCCCATTGGCTGCGCTGAACATTGCCCCACCCCGCGCTTGCCGCTCATTGGCTGGCGAGTTGCGCGGGGTGGAGACCTCTGGAAGTGCAGGGGCTCTAAGATGGCGGCGGGCTGAGGCGCTGTGGGGTTTTTATCATTTTATTTCGGCGGTCTGGGGGGTCTGTGCCCTCTGGACTTCGCTTAGGCTTTCTGAGGAGCCATGCCAAGCTCTTGCTGCCAGCATACGCCTACCTGCTGTGCTTGCCACCTCAGGGAGCCGGTTTGGGGGCGTTGTTCCGGTTGTGTTGTGTTGTGACAGAAAAGCACTGATGTTCTCAGAGGGTTCTGTGAGCGAGAAGAAGGTGACATGGGAGCATTGCCACCATTGCACGAGGAATTCCTGAGGTAACTTTGCCCTGTAAGGGCGTGAATTCAGTATTGTCTGAGACTTGTGAACGCGCTATAGGATTTTTCAGCTATGTCAAGGATAACCTTGCTTTTCTGAGAAACTTAATATATTCCCTACCTGTTATGTATCATTCATGGTCATTCTCTCATATGCAGGAGTATAAATCCAAAAGCAGTGTCCCGGCTTCCTTGTGCAACTGTGTTTGGTGCCTCTCACATGCAAGGTGATTTGTTCTGCACTTGTTTTATCATGATAAAAATGCAGAAATGTTGATGAGGAAATCAGCCACTTGGTGGCACTGCAAAAATGTGGACACTGTATGAATATGGCCAGACAGGGAACTGCTGAGTACAGTGGTCAGCACTGGTCAACAGCCATGTCTTGCAAGCAGCATCTCCTAATGGTGGTATGCTAAAACATCAGTAAATTTTTATTTAAACGCGGTTACAGTGAATGGAGACAGCAAGAAGTGGGTTAAAGGCTGCACAGTCTGAGTGCAGAGCTGCTGCTTGCAGCAGTGATCTCCTTTGCACCATTTGCTATTGGTTCTGTGCATCACAGAGTGCAGCTGGCAGAGAAATGCCACCACACGTTTTCCTCGTGTGGGCTGCCCAGGGATACAGCAAAGATTTGGAAACTTTGAAAATCCTGGCCATAAAGTTCTTCATTTACTGTAAAATAATAATAAACAGTTTGGAGTTTATTGAGGCTCTGAAGTAGCACAGTGGTATAAAAAAGGCCCTATTAAACAACAGCTACAGGAGTTTGTATTTGTGTTGACTCTGCCCATGGAATCCAATGTAGTCCTGACTCTTTACTGCATTTTGTTACTGCCATTTTCCCCCTGGATCAGTGGAATTTGAGAGCATTTAAGAATTCTAACCTATGATATCAGAATAAAGACCAGTAATTTGAACCATGCTGAACCACTGGCTTTCAGAAAAAACAACAACAACAACAAACAGTTTTCCAACCAAAAATCATTTTTTCTTATTTCATACCGGGAGAGCATCTAAACCAGAGACACTGTTCAGTTAATTTCGTCTTGAGTGTCTGTAAGTACTGAGTTTAGGCAGCGTGGCTGTACTACAGCCTGAGCTTTAACCTCACCAGCTCAGGTAACATCAGCGATAGCCTAGCAGTGCACGCTCCATGCAAACTGGTAAGGTGAGAACGTAACTTAGGTCCTTGGCAAGCTCAGACTGTGCCTGCAGCTTCACTGGTTGTTACCTGAGCTGGGTAGGCTACAGCCAGAATGAGTTTCCTTAACGCACTGCAATTACACTTTCCACTAACGATATCTAGGACACTGCAGTGGTCTTTTTGTATTTGAATAATGCCACAATTTTAAAGTATTTCAATGTCACGTTAAGATAAAGCATGGTATTTTTTTTTCCAGCCAAATTCCTGATTGCTACTGATTTTACTGTGTTAAGAAAAAACACATTACCATTTAATAGAGATAAAAAAGCAATATGAATACATAAACCCATTATCTTGTACAGATATTATCCATGCCCAAAAGATTAAATGTGTCATTCTCATGCAGTCCTGATGATTTTGTGATAATATGCTTACATTTAAGCCACTGAAGCTTTGAGAACCAATTAGAATTCCCCCATTTCTTGACAATGTGAGTGTCATTATCAGATACATTTTGTACCAGAGAAATCATTTTGTGGAAATCTGCTAACGTGCTCTTCCTACTCTACTTTTCATTCTTTCGTGTGAAATACTGTGTTTTGTGAGGGTAATTCTTACTACCTTTGCATAAATGCCCATTACTGAAGAGCAATACATAGAGAAACCTATCCTTGAATATAGAGTAGAAATTGCAATTTCAGAATATATTTTTGGCAAAAGTTCAGGCAAATGGAGTTACAAAGCTGTAGTCCACAGCACCACGGAGCTGCTGCTGTCATAGGAAGAAGGCCTCCACCAGGAGTACAAGTAGCACAGCAGTGACGGTGACCCACGAACCCCCTGATGTGTCAGCCTATAGCCTGGGAGGGGAGCATGCCTACAGTCCTACCTTGGGCCAAGAAGGAGATGTATGTTGGGACTCTCACCAGGACAAGGAGAGCTTCCCTTTTTTGGGGTGTTTTCTCTACTGCCTCAACTATATGCAATAAACCACATCAAGCACAGTCCCTGCAGCCCACGGTGTTAAAAATAAAGTGGTAACCTCGCTCCATTGGACGAGCCCTCTTGTAATGTTTCCTGCAGCCAGGTCTCTGCAAGGGAGGTGGGAGTTTCCACTCATCCTTGGGAGCTGTCTCACACTTACTGGGTTATAAATAGCAAGGCGAGGTACCTGACTCGAGGTGTTAAATTGCACTCTGGCAGCCTGATACCTAGCAGTCAGATGTTGTAGCACATTTATAAGATCCCAGCTTTCACTGCATGGAGTCTAAAATGCAAACTAGCAATCATAAAATGTGAGGTGTAGTTGAAAACAAGGTCTACAAAACTACAAGGTCTATAAAAACGACAAGGGTAGTTTTTATCTGCATATCTTTACATCCTCTGTTATTTACATTGTGTTTACAGTGAACATTCCCTGCTGTCACAGATTCCAGTGAAAAGTCCTTCTCACTCAGCACTACAGGTGGAAGCATCCTGCAGCTGGTCTCATGCTCCGAGACCAAAAGCTGTATTAAAACCATATTCTTAAGGAAATTACATTCACTTCCAAAGAGATTCACTTTTTTTTTTTTTCTTCCCCCCCCGCCAAGGAAGATGGGAGCAGGAATTAACCCAAGAACAAATGCAGGATCAGCCCTAAGCCACCGCTGAGCGGGGAGCACACTTTGAGTTCTTTCCAGGCACTGCTTGGAGTGAGGTTACTGTGGGTGAACTGTACAGCTATCCCCTTTAGCAAAAGCAGATGAAGAAACTGCTTAGTGCAGTGGTATTAGTTGATGTTTCAGCAGCATTAGGTAGGCTTCTAATTGAGTTAAGTCAGGACCACTATGTTTTCATTTGAAAAGAGCATCCTCCCCTCAAGCATTGACAAGACACCCTTCGTTTTTTATTCAGGGTTAGAACCTGTGGTTTATTTCTCAGCATGTGATTCCATCACCCAGCAGCAGAGTGTTATTTAGAAGCTGGGTGCAACTGCTGGAGTGAAGTGCTTCACCACCTAAACAACAGCAAAGGAGATGAGGAACAACTGGGTTTAGAGTGGAAAACCTTTGCAGAATATGACTGCTAATTAAGATGGGAGCTATAAATGAAGAGCTATAGTGACCTGGTTAATCCTTTGTACTCTGAGAGAGTTAAACTTCTCCAGGTTTCTGATAAGATAAAACTGGTTTTCTTTATCTGTTGTTTTTCCAATGTTCAAGGCTACTGAAATGCAAAAGTGCCAGATGGCCATATAAGCTAAACAACTTGCAAAATCTGTCTTATATTATCACTAAATGCCATGGGTGGGGTGGAGATGATGGAAGGAGAAACCTTATTTAATCATTACAAGTCACTTAGCAGCAAATGGCATTTCGCTGTCTTTTATCAACTTACAACAAAAGATTGGGTCTGTACAGTCGTGGGGACTAATAGGACAGTTTTCATTCCCCTTTAAGACATCTGCTGGTATCTTCTTATGTCTGTCACTGAAATGTTGTGCTGGGCTAGTACAAAGGCTAGGGGAAAGAAATCACTGATCCTATACCAGAATACCTACTGTGAAGCTACTGTGTCACCAGCAGCAAAACCCCATTGTTCTTCTGGGATTTTGTTATGATCCAGTGAAGAAAGCACTGGAGGGGCGAGGAACTGCAGGTTCTGTTCTCAGTCCTCTCACCAATGTGATGTTTGACCTTGAGCACATTTTACCAGTTTTCCTTTTTCTCTCTCCAGCTTTGTGAACAGTGTCTGTGTAGCCAAGAGCCCCCAGAGGCTTTGGGAGATTCACCTCAGCCTTCTGAGATGCCATGTTAATGTGCATCTGTGCCTTGGCTGATTAGTTCTGCTGCTCGGTAGGGCTCTTGAGGCACGGTGCTGTGCTGATGCAGTACACTGCTCTTAGCTTGACAATGGTCTCAGGGATCTTTTTTCAGTGTTGCGTCACGCAGAAGTAGTAATCTCTCCATTGCAGCCTTCCTGCAAGCTGCAGGAATCATCCCTTTTTGGTTTGCTTACAGATAGCTTCAGTCCTGATCTCACCCTGATCATCTGTGGTCCCCTGCAGGGACCTGCATCGCTCCCTGCTTCTCTCTAAGTAGCCATGAACTGCTGAAATCTTTTGAGGAGGGGGGAGGCTCCTCACAGGGAACACTGAGGCTCACACTACCATCTGGTGACACTACTTAATTCCCCTTCTCCCAATGCATTCCCTTTGCATTTCACTCTTGTTCTCAATGCCTTTGGTTGAGAGGATTTCTCTGGTTGCCATCCCTTTCGCCCAGCATGCTGAGATTTCCCTGTGCAGGCCAGCACAGCAGCAATGCCTGGGGTGATGCTGGTGTGACCAACTGCGGCCCAGGGCCTGCAGTGCCGGTGGATACATCCACAGCAGAAAAAACAGCTTGTGTTTTTGTCAGCTGACGGTAGCAACCACACAAACAATGACAGAATGTATTTAGTTATTGTGCTCAGGAGGAAACAGTGGAGCAAGCCAGCTGAAATGGCTGGCACTGCGCTGATGATGGTCCTAACATCCTCCATGGCCAGGACACCTCTTCAGGCACTAACCCCCTTCTGGGAGGAGTTAGGTAGTTTTTAAAGGCAAATTAATTATTTTGGCTGCTTGTGGTGGACTGTTTCATTTTTAGCCTATTGATGCATTCAAGCTGCTTATCAGCTATCAGTGCCATGGATCACGGTGAAAGTTTGGCACAACTGCACAGGGAGTGGTGGGTCACCATCCTTGGAGGTGTTAAGAACAGTGGAGATGTGGCATTCAATGGGGGATATGGTCAGTGGGTGTGGTGGGGGTGGGTTGGACTTGGGATCTGTGAGGTCTGTTCAAATTCTGTGATTCTAAGCTGGCAATCCCATTGCTTTCAGCGTCACATCATGTTGGTCACTCAACCTCACAGCACCCAGCACACTGGCATGAAGGCACAAGCCTGGAGGCATCAGGGTGAACAAGCAGCTCCAAACCCCGGGGTCTGCTTTCAGACATCCCAGGCCTGAAACCTATGGGCACTGCTGGGGGGAAAGACCTGCCAGGATCCTTCCATGACACATGGGACAGGTTGCCCAAGGAGGCTGTGGATGCCCCATCCCTGCAGGCACTCGAGGCCAGGCTGGATGTGGCTCTGGGTAGCCTGGGCTGCTGGTTGGCGACCTGCACACAGCAGGGGATTGGAAGTGGATGGGCACTCCTTTGCAACCCAGGCCATGCAATGAATCATTGAATGGTTCTATGATCTGTCAGTGCCTGGCTGCACCGATGTCCTGAAGAGAATTCTGGACACTACGGAGATCTCGAGAGCAGCGGAGAGCCGCGAGCCCCGTGTAGGGCACCACGGTCCTACGAAGAGCTGGGGGCCCAGGGAAGGAAGGCTCCGCAAGGGAGGCTCCGCGCTCCGCAGCAGCCCCGGCCCTTCCACAGGCGCGGAGGCGCCGAGCACTCGGGCGGCGCGGTGCCTGGCACGGCGCGGGGGCGGCGTTCCGCGTACCTCCCCGGCGGGCCCAGACCCGTCCCGCCCCGCCCCGCCCAGGGCGCGGATTGGCGCGGCCTCCGCAGCTCCTCCCGCCGCCGCCGCTGGGCTCGGGGGATCCGGCCGCGCCGCGCCGAGCCGAGCCTGGCGGCTTCGCGCTGCGCGCCGCCGGGATTCCCTTCGCTGTGGGCCGCGCTGCGGGTAGGCCTCTGGCGGCGCGGCGGGGTCTCTGGGCGGGCAGGTGGGCGGCAGGAGAGCGAGCGGCCAACGGGAGGCGAGCGGGAGGCGAGCGGGAGGCGAGCAGGCCCCGCGCGCAGCGCCCGCGCTCCCGGCCGGCTATGGCGGCTGCGGGGCCGTGGAGGGGCGGTTGGCTGCGTCCCGGCCGCGGGCCTGCTCGCTCCGGGCCTTCCCGGCCGTGACGGGGCCGCGCTGCGGGGCCGGGGCCGGACTCCTCCGGGCCGCCTGTGCGGGGCTCGCGGGGCCTCCTGAACGGCCGGCCCGCGGCTGTGCGTGCTGCCGCTTCCTGAGGGGGCTTTCCGCAGCCTGCCGGGGAAGCGGTTCTGAATATCCGTCAGTGTAGCGAAAATACGGCTGGGTCGAGTGGGTGTCGCTTCTGATTGCGCCTTCACGTGGGAGTTGTGTAAGGACCGAGGGAAAGCTTCACAGCCCAACGCAGTGGGAACGATTTCTTCTCAACATTGCTTCCTCCGAGGCCTCGCTTGGAGCAACGAGCGCAGCTTTCAGTTCCTTCAGCAAACCGAGGTGACCGTGTGGCTTTTATTTGAGGGGGGGAAGAAAAAAAAAACCAAACCCGTTTCGTCAGCAGGAGCCGTGGGGATAGCAGCGCTCCCGCAGCAGTGTGCCTGTCTGCTCCCATAGAACCGGCTGACGGCTGTAAAACCCGCCCGTGGAGCTGCGTAAATAGCCGAGTGGTTGGCCCTGCTGCGCTGCATGCTATCTCGGTTATGCTGCTCTCGGGATCCAGTTTTGGTGGCTTGAGATAGGCGAGCTGGCTTTGAACTGGTGAGTTCGAGGAGTTGCGAGGCTTAATGAATGTTTGCGTAGCGCTCCGCGTTTTCTCGGATGAAAGGTTTTACATAATTGGCCTCTGTAATTGTCTGTCACCCCCGGAGAAGAGCTGAAAAACCCCGCTGGTGGAGGTAGGCAGTCGTTTTTGGGAGTCCAAAGTCTGAACCCGTAGGTGCCTGTAGGTTGTTAATGTTGTTACTGCTTAACACGGTGGTAGCAAAATGACTCACTGGGAGGAAAGAGAATTCAACACATCTATTTCTGCGCTCAGTGTGAGCAGCGCAGGCGGACGAAGGGCATCCTGCCTGCATGGGAGCAGCAACTTTTTGGTGAGCAGAAGAATTCCTAACGCAGCCTCACTTTAGTTGCACCAGAGCTGCTTTTTACCCCTGAGATCATAACTGGAAGCCTTTTATTTTATTTTATTTTAAATATTATTTTGATTCCTTTTTAATAAATACCTAATCCCTTGCTGCAGGGGGTGGGAGTGTTTTCCATGCAGCGTTTTTGGTCCTGAGGGAAGGGGGAAGGGAGTGCCTCTATGGCTTTCCAGCAGCCACCCGCCTTCCTGGAGTGAAAGAGCCTTATTGAGTGATTCTGAAGGTAACCTGCCCAAATTCTCCTTTTACGTGGTAAAACCATAAATTTGCTTCAGCGCAGCGCCTTTGAGGGAAGGAGATGGAATGTCAAGGAGCCTGCGCTTCGTCACGAGCAGTCTGGTAACAAAGGCAGCATCTGTTAATTGCATTGCACTGATCAAAATCTCCCCTTCAGATGACAAAGTTCCATTTTAATGGGTGTGAAAAGTTGTGGGATTTGATGCCGCTGTCTTAAAATCATCTTGCAGGCTCTGGATGATTAAGTTGTTTCCTTCCTATTTAATTGGAGGACAGGCAGAGGTTGAAGAAGCAGCTTTATGTTCTAAACGCTCGTTAAAATCTTTACTCAGATAAGGATTGTGAGCGTGCAGGAGTGACTTGTCAAGCTCTAAGCTGCAAGTGATTTTCTTACAGGTGCATAAAACAGCTCTATGTGTCCCTTAGAGCTGGAAGCTCGTGCTGCAGGTCTGTGCTGTGGCACTGGGCAGCGACTCCGTAACAGCAAGCTGTGCATAGAGACCTGCCTGCAGCTTCCGTGCCAGGAAGCGCTGCGGTTTGGGGTACAGAGGTGCTGTGTAGCTGAACATGGTGTAGAATGCACAAGATACCACCTGGCTGCTAACTGGCCCCAAGGTTCCGAGAATTGACACATCCAGCGTGACGTGTCAGTTTAGCTTCTTGCCACCCTGTACCTTCACAGCACGGGTGGTTCAGTACAGCATTCAAACGCCAGTTACTTTATTAACCTCAGGTATTGTGTATTTCAGTAGTTCTGCTGCTGATTTTAATCTGTTCTCCCATCAGTGCAGTGCAATGAAGGTGGCAGCTTTTCTTGCCCCCATTATAGCTGAGCCTGTAAGGAAAATGTAGTGCTGGTCTGAAGGTTGCTGTTCAAGATCACGCAATTCTGGAAGCATGCCTATCTCCTGTCACAATCTACTGCTTTTTTCTTTCCTCTCGTGAGTTATTTGGACTCAAATGTACAGATGGGAACATCTAGTGTTATTAAGCTTTGGAAGGAGGTCTCAGTGAAAGCTGCTGGTCAGACCCCAGCTTCTCAGATTTGGGAGCTCTGCAGTGGGGGAGGCACAGGAATGCTGCTTTGGTATATGTGGCTGCTCGGTTCTTATTCGTACCACACTTTCTGGTCTTATTTTCTAAGCTGTTTTGACTTCAATAACTTACCAAAGTTAGAATCTAGTAGAGTCATCATGACAGGCTTATTAAAGGCAATATTTTTACTTTTTTGTGTTTGTAAATATTGTCTTTTTTAAAGAAAAGTCGCTCTCCCCCCACTGAATCAGAATAAGAATCAGGATAACTGCTTATCATGCAAATTCTGGGGGTAGCTGTGGAATTTGTATGTATTTGTTCCCCAAATAACTTGTTTTTTTGCCCCCTTTTGACTGTTTGCTGTATCACTTGCTAATCCTGCTGTTGCAGTCTCATGCCTGTACTGTCACTAGAGATGCACGTGTCACTGTAGGCATGGTGGTTAGTTCTAATCAAGCTATTTTGGGCTTCAAAAGCAGTGAAAGCACAGCAAGGCTGGCTTTGCCTTTTTGGGGCCTTGTGCAGTTTGCATTGGTGGCAGCCTGGTCTGCTGGTTGGCAACTGCACATAGCAGGGGGTTGAAACCAGATGATCATTGTGGTCCTTTTCAACCCAGGCCATTCTAGGATTCTACAATGATGAATCACCTGGGCAGCCACTGTGAGGTGTGGGTTTCTGCAGTGTCAGTGCCGTGGGTATCGGAGGCAGATGGATTAAATATAGCTCAAGGATGCCTCGAGGTGTTGCAGTTGCACCTCTTGCAGTACATGTTTACACAGACCACCTTCCTACACATCTGAGGTTCAGCTGCTACTTTCATATGGAGTTGCTGCTGGGTGGCTGTGCGACTGCCTGGTAATGTTTTGTGAGCAGAAATACCCTACAGAGGGACATGCAAATGGCCGTTCAGGAAACATCATTTCTTTAATTAGTCAGAAATGGCTGACTGTTACCTTGGGGTGCAGAAAGCATGGTCTTTTCCAAGCGATTAACAAAAAATTCCTGCTTTAGAAGCTGCTATGTCTGCAGTTCATAGCAAAGTCATGGCATGTAGGTAGGACAGAGGCTGAATTTCTGCCAGTTGAAATCTTGCTGTCCTAATGTGCTGTTCTTTACAGTGCTTGCAAGCCAGTATGCAGCGTTCTTCTGCCTCGCAGCAAAACAAGTAGTGATTAAAAATTCAGCAGATGCTGTGGTTGGTTTAACTACTTGTTCCTGCATCATTCAGGTCATATCGCACACTTAATGTTGCTAATGTTCAGTCTTAGCTTTTTTTGTTCTAAGAATGGAGATTATCAGAACCACCATGGGATTTATAGAGCTGTTTTGGCAGGAACTAAGCTACACGAAGTAAATTATTCAGAACTGTTTTCTTCCTTCCTCTAGCTTGGAGGTTCTCTTCTTTATTTCTCAAATATTATCTGTTTGTGCCAGGCAGGGCTTTCTTTTCTGCAGCTTTTCTCACTTTGACTCTGAAAGTGTTTTCTTTTGATAGCTTTGAGATAAATGACTCCCTGGTTGAGAAGAAGAGGAAAGGGAAAAACCCCACCATGATAGGTGTAAGTGCTTGCTTGCTTCGTTGAACTCAGTATTTCATTTGGCCACAGAAGTATTTTTGTGAAAGCATTTTCGCTTTGTTTCAGGCAGAGCTTCCTGCTGCTTTCAGAACCTCTGCTTGCAGTGTTGCTCAATGTTGGTTAATAGCATGCAGTCCTGTGTGTTGCATATTTGCCTTGCAAATGACATCGGTTTGGATTATCCTTTCTCTTCCCAGTATTCTTTTAAACATGCAGAGCTTTGGCATTCTTCTAGCAGCACACAGGGGTTCTGGATACCTTTTCTGGAGCTGCAAAGCAGCATTAATGCATCAAGGTTGTGCCTTGTTCTCGCTTTCTTCAGAAGCTGATTCCTCTTCTCCAATATGAGAAGCTTCCCATCACATCACGGTGAGCATAGGGTTAGTTTTGATTGACCTCCCAGTGTTTTTTGGCTGTATATGTGCTCAGGCTGGCACTATATGCTGGGCATCCCTTGGCAGGTGCCCTCTGGACTGGATGTGCCTGCAGGGCTGCTCACTGCATAACCACTGAGGTCAAGGTGAACAGCTGAGGGAAGTTGCTGGGTTTTTGGGTGCCTTTGAGACAAACTTCCTACGCTGGAGCAGCTGTAGACTTTCGTGCACAGAGAAACTAAATTCAGAATGTAGAACACAGGTTGAGTATCTTGGTCAAGGGCACTTGGGGTTCAGCCATCCTTCATCACGCTGCTGCAGGGAGCTCGAGAACTGCCGGGCTTAGGAGGAGGCTGCATCTCTTTAGCTTGAAGTGAGTGAGAAATCAGTAGGAATGCACAAATCCAGATTTTCCATTCCATTATAGGATGCCCAATATAGGATAGATATGCCTATAAGCTGGGTTTTGGAGAAGTAATGGGCAGAATGTGGAGACTTTCCAGAATAAGCATGTTGTTTGAACATGAAATTCAGATACCTTTTCATTTTCATTCTGACAGTTGGCACAT